GGCAACAGCGAGTGCGGAGAAATTCCCCCCCATTTTGACTTTTGCGTCTAGCGGGCAATCCACCTGCCACTCACCCACCAGCCGCAGTTCAAGACTTGAAGGGCAATCAATCAGAGATATAAAACCCAAACACCAATCCAAAGTCGTGAAGATCCAGCTCTGAACGGCCCCTCGAAAATCCATTTTCTGTTCTTCCTTGCCCCCCCAAGAAATCTCGGCAGAACATGTCTGCCAAAGTCGCCCTGGTCACAGCCTCGTCGGCAGGCCTTGGCGCCGCCACGGTCAAGGCTCTGGCCCCTTACTTCCGCGTGGTGGTCAACTACCACTCGCGGCAGGAGAAGGCCGACCAGGTGATCAAGGAGGCCTCGGCGATTCAGCCCACGTACAGCACGCAGCAGGGCCAGCCGCGCTTCCACGCCATCCGGGCCGACGTCTCCAAGCGCAGCGAGATCGAGCGCCTGGTGCACGAGACGGTCGCGCACATGGGCCGGCTCGACGTCGTGGTCAGCAACGCGGGCTGGACGCGGCTGACCGACTTTATGGACCTGGAGCAGCAGGTCGTCGAGGACGACTGGGACCGCTGCTTCAACGTCAACGTCAAGAGCCACCTGTGGCTCCTCTACGCCGCGAAGCCGCACCTCGAGAAGACGGCCGACTCGGACGAGCGCGTCGGCGGCGCCTTTGTCACCGTGGCCAGTCTTGCTGGCGTCCGTCCCAGCGGGAGCTCCCTCTCGTACAGTGTCAGCAAGGCGGCCGCAATTCATCTCACAAAGGGCCTGGCCATGATTTGCGGCAAAAAGGTCCGGTGTAATAGTGTTAGTCCGGGACTCATGATGACGGAATGGTAAGTCAGTTGGTTATGGCTCTTGCTTCTGTCTTCCTTCCATATTACGTGCTCTGGGCAGCAAAAAATACAATGACGATGCTGACTTTTTCTGGCCACAGGGGCAACCAATTCCCAGAGTCAAAGGTCAAGGCCACAGTCGACAAGGCCGCCTTGAAATCGACGGCTACCCCGGAGGACGTCGCCGACCAGATCAAGACGTTGGTGCTGAGCAAGTCTATTACGGGCCAGAATATCGTCTTGGATTGTGGTATTGCGATATGAAATGGCTCCCTCCCCGTTGTTAAAAGTCGAACCAGAAATACATCTATTCTAACCCCGTTTTTGTATCACAAGCCACTATCATTTAGCTGGTGTCAGATCAGGACCGATCTTGCAGAATCTAGAATCATCAGGATCCTTCTCGTCGAGGCTCCGAGCTCAAAGCTCGCACCAAATTCAAGGTGAACCACATGTTCTTGACATATCCATCACTTTTGATATCGTGAATACCTCCCACCCTCGCCATCACCCTCGCTCGGCAGCTTTCACAGCTTCGAGATATCTGTCCACAAGCCGATCGATCGCTCCCTGAATACCCCGCTTGAGGGCTTCAGCATCATTCCACGACCCGTTCTGAACCCGGTGTAGCTCGTTCCACAGTCCCGTAACCAGGTCCATCCCTGCTTCCTGTGCCCGTCGGCTCTGCAGATTGACCGCCCTCCACTGGTCCTGGAGTTGGTGATATCTCACCAAGAGAGCCCGGGTGGCGGTGAGCGCACATGTGGCCAGCCTCTCCACTTCGGCGCCGTCGAGTGAGACGCGAAAGTCGTCGGGGACAGCCAACCCTGGCGACGGCATCTTAGAGTAGGGTTGGAAATCCGTCGAGGGCAGACGGGTCGTATCGTGTCCATGGAGAGGAGCTGTGCTTGGGCCTGGGCTATCGCTTGTCGTTGTGCTCGTGCTCGTGCTCGGTCGGACCATCTCGGCATACAAGGATCTTGCACATTCATCGAGTTCGTGGAGAAGCCAGCGGCGGAGGTGCAGCGAAATCTCGACTGTTTCCTCTGAACTTCGTTGCATCGCGGGTGAAGCGTGATCATCCATGACTCTCCTTCCGAGAGAGCGTGTGTTATGAAGAGATATATGTTGCTCCTTCATGATGTGTTGACCTTCATATAGAGCCAGAGACCGTCAAACACATGTTAGCGGCACACGGAATTTTTGGATGGTTTGTGCGGTTTCAACCAAACGCGATCCCATGGTTTGTATGTCGAGCGATGGCTCATATGCGTCTGCAACCCATCTCTCACACATCAGCCTCGTTGTCCATTACCTCGAGTCTTCTCAGTGTCTCCAGAGCAGTTTGGCAGCCTCGTTTGACGATGTCTCTTTCCTTCTTTCCGACCAGATCTGAAGTCCGCACATTTTTCTTAATGAAGAACTGCAACCTCTTGATGATCTGAGGCGTCTCAGCTGCACGCTCAAACACTTTGGTCAACGCTTCCGGTTTGTCTTTCGCCTCGGTCATGACAATGATGAGCAAGAGCTCTACAAACATGGTTGTCCGTTCCTTGATGTAGGCGAGCTCCAGCACTTTCAATACGCCCAGTGTTTCGGCTCCATCCATGATCAGACAAGCGTATAACCGTGCGACGTTGGCGATCTCGGTGAGTCCCACTTCTTGATCGTCTTCTCCCATATCTTCGTCCTCATCGTCTTCCCGAGGCGGCTTCTCGCCCATCCTCCTGAAGAAATCCCATAGTGCAAACTGAAAGGCCTTGCGCATCTTCTTGTCCAGGCACAACTTCCTCGCCACGAGGGTGTAATAGTGGTTGTATGGATTTTCACCGGCGCTGCAGCGAAGCAGGACTTTGGGGATCTCCTGCTCTTGGGTGCGCTTGAGACGCAGTTTGAGGAGACGTAGATGCGCATCTTGGTAGTCCACTGCCGAGAGAAGGGCGACAAAGATGGAGCGCCGAATGTCGGTGTTCATACCGTAATGGCGTGATAGGGCGAGGAGATCGACTGAATCATCGTCATCAAGTCCAACACTATTCATCGCGATCGAGTTGTCACTTCGTCCTTCAGCTGGTGCTTCCGTAGGCTCACGACCTTTCCAGCTGGCTCCCACTAACCACCATTTCCCCTTCTTGTCGCTGTTCTTGATATCATCCCTCGTGATTCGCAGCGGCTCAGATGCCCTCACCGTGCGGCTGTTATTCAACGAACCAAGCACCTTCCGCATCAGTGTGATGTGCTCACTTGCTACGCCTGCATTATTCGCCGCAGCTTTCATCTTGTTGTTCTTCAAATCCGTAATCGTTTCGATCATGAATTTCGTCCGTACGCTCATCTGTTCTCCTGCCGAATTCATTCGGGCGGCCTCCTTTTGCATGATTTGGACGATATCTTTGAGCGAGGATGGATCATCTTGCCTCAATTGCTGGCCACAGTCCCGGACCAGACGCAGCAACAACTCCGTGTTGTTCTCGCTTAGTCGCTCGAGCAATAATCGGACGTAGTCGAAGATGATGGTGCTGCTAATTAGACGGAATGTGAAGAGGTGACTGAGAAGACTGATCAGGTTGAGGGCCTCTTTGCCAGTAGCAGCATCGCTGCGATATTGATCGAGTCGCTCGATCAACTGAGAAAGGAGTTCCGCGCCAAAATCCACGCCAACAACCTTGTATACTGCGGTGGCAAATGCCGCGTGAAGGATAACAAAGGTGTTTGAGAGAGTTGATTTGTTACAAAACAAGGTCAAAAGAAGGTCGATCAGGGCGGTTGTAACGTCCTGCCTAGGGTTAGACTGGTAGAGCTTCTCGACCTCTCCTAGTATTGAGACGAGGTTCGCTTCTGATAATTTGTTTAGGTGGCCTTGAAGTTGCCTTTTCAGTCTTTCCAGTGAAGGACCTTCGGAGTTTTGGGCCTTTCTCAATGATGGCGGAATGTATTTCCCCGTGGCTGTTTGGGGGACTGGGGCGACGTAAGGATTTTCTCGAGCCTTTTGGGGTTGGATGTCGGGCATCTCTTCATCTGACTCGAAGCCTTCAAACGAGCCCTCACTTGGTCGCCCCGAACCGTCTTCGGACTCTTCCTCGTCGGAATCCTCTCCCAGGTCCTCGTCCAACAGATCACCACTGTCTCCTTGATCAACCCCGAATTCATCAAGCTCGTCATCCTCGCTCTCGTCTTCAAGGTCAAAATCGTCCTCAGTAAGCTCACTGTCCTCAGTATCAGGTTTCCTTCTCTTCCTCTCCAACCACGCCTCGCTTTCGCTCTTCCTCTTGACACCCCGATCCTCTGCGTCCAGCCCCTCGAGTAACTCATCCAACCCATCGTCCGCAAAAGACTTCGGCGTTTTCCTCTTCTTCAAGCCTAGTTTTCTCTCAAGTGCTGCAATCTCAGCATCATCCTGTGCGGCCCGCTCTCTGAAGGCTTGGGAATTGGCGTCGAGAACGAGACCGGGAGAGGAGGACCGTGATCGTGGCGGAAGAGAGGTTTCAGACAATGATGGAGAGAGGATTCTTTGCTTTTTGAGGATTGATTTTAGCTTCTTCGGTTCGTTTTGCGGAACCTTTGATTTCACGGCGTCGTCTCTTTTCGACGCAACGTGCACGGGGTTGGGTTCGTCGATTTCATCTGCGTCCGAATCTTCATCTGAGAGCCCGTTCTCTGTCACCAGCGGCCCCCTTTGGGATCTTCTACCCCTGGTATTCTGTCTCTTTTCCAGTCTTTGCGCCTTGCGCTGCTCTTTTCTGCTCTGCACCGAGCCATTTTGCTGCTGTCGCCGCCCACCTCTAGCGCTTGGTTGCGACCTGTGCTCTAGCCCGAGTTCCTTTTCAAGCGCAAAGGGTAACTTCAGGCCATTTCGGGCTCGCGCATTGTGTCGCGACATTGACTCCGACACAATAGATCCCGAAAAGCCCCTCGCCTGGCTTGTCTGGAAATGTCTAGGAAAGACTTCGTGGCCCGTGCGCACTTGTAACATTGTGCTTGGACATTAATTTTTTTTTTTGGAAAATGCGGAGATGGTTCAGCCGAAGTTTAGGCGGCATTTTTTGTGTCACGATCCTCCGTGCAACCCCCACCAACCAACGGCCAATTCCCTCACTGCTGTGAATATGGAAACTCAATCACAGTAACTGTCGCTAAAACGAACACACCCCCAAACATGGCGCAGGAGCGCCTAAGCAACGACGAGGTGATGTTTCCTTCCTTGTCCGTCTGATAGACGAATGAGCCGTGTCTGACGTGAATATGTGTGCATACAGTTCCTCTCGCGCCTCACCACCCTCCTCTTGTCCACCCACACTGCAACCCACGGCTCCGTCTACCTCACTCAAAAGCCCTTGACAGCCACAGACAAAGAGATCTCATCTTCACCTTCATCACAGGTCCTGATACGCGCCACAAACGGCCTGTCGAAACAACACCGGTTAGCGGCCAAGAAATCCAAGGCTGGTGTCGAGAAGAAGGACAAGGTGAAATTTGCGACCGTGGTTGAGGTTTCCGAGTTGGAGGCGTTCTACACCAAGTATGCCGAGACCTGTAAGAAGGGCATGGAGGGGTTAAGGAAGAGGGATAAGAAGAAAGCCAAGGAGAAGGCGAAGGCGAAGAAGAAGGGCAAGGCTGGGACAGCAGGCGGCGGCGGCGAGAAGCCTTCTGGATCGTGATGAGAGGCATGAGCATCCTTGTTCTCATAAAGGACGACAATATGGATACTCCTCTTCAGCATGAGGACGGGGTCGGGGATGAGGGCAGCTGAATGTCATCTGTTGTTGCACTATCGCCTTCTACTGGCCGAACCCGGTTAACCTGCGAAGATGTGAGCAATGCCACAGGATATACTGCAGGTGGGCCACGACATGAGCTTGGACAAATGCCTCTTCTGCAGCTGGAACATGATGGCCATTGATGACCTGTCAGTCCCCCTCGGCCAAAACCAAACATGGCACTCAAGGGAGTGAGCTACAGGATAGTCAGCGGCAGTGTGTCTATCCGACATCACTTAAGACGCCGACAACGTTTGCAAAGATGGAAAAAGAATGTCTCGGTTCTAACACGAGAGCTGCAAGACAAGCGAGACACATACAGAGCGGCGCAAGAAGCAGCCAATCCAATACAATTCCGTCATTGAGAGAGATAACTGGTGGTATCATCAAGCAACAAGCAAACTTTCCACAAACTTCCCGCGATCTTTTTACATAGGACCCAGTCGTTACTATGGTCGTAAAGGCACATCGTGCTCGAATATACACGTCGGCCGTTGATTAATAACCGGTAAATCAGCTCGACACACTGGTCTCGCACGGGTGATAACCCGCCCGGCTCTGCAGGCTATATCAGGAGCAGGATGCCTAATCCAGATCAAAGATGGAGTCTGCGTCGTCGTCTTTTGTTGTCATGGTCTTTGTTGTAGCAATCCTCATACCGGGATCATGACTTCTCGTTCGTCCTCTGATTGGCACTCCAAAGTCATCTTCCTCCTCACTGTCATCCCTCGGTGCCGACGTTTGGTCGGGAAAGCTCGACCTTCGCCGGTGTGCTTCCGGCCTGCGAAACAACTCGCCACTCAGTAAGTCACTCACCGTGGCACCCCCGGCTATTCGAGCTAGAATGTGGACCAGCAGGACAACGGCTTCGATGGGTTTGACGAATGCAACATTGGCGGCTTTCTGCAGGAAATCCGCAGTGAAGGGACTTCCATAGTTTGTCGGAGAGGGCGAAGGTGATAGCAGAGTGGTGGATGGTGGGAGAGGCGAAAAGGATCGTTTGGCGTGCAAGCGCCGTCTCAATCCGTCTTTGCTCGGCGACGTTGGAGGTGTATGAACATCCGGCCAAGACGAATCTGACATGGAAGATTGCGCGAGTTCCGGAGTTGAAGACTTGTCCATGGAGTCGCTGGTCGAGGGCCGCTTCATTGGACTTTGTTCGGATTCCACCGTGGACGCCGTGACTGTCAGCTCCGAGAGACCTCTTTGATGCTGATTTCTATTCAAAAAGAAAGGAGGGTACCCTTCTGCAGGATGACGTTGTTCAAAATCGATAATCTGGACATGTTCATCGAGCGGCTCTGGTGCTAAAGAATCTGTGGTGTAGAAGGAGTCGACACTCGAGACCCTGCTAAGAGAACCTTGAGTTCTGGCGACCTCGAGCACTTCATGGGCCTTAGACTCCTCTTCTGGCTTCAATGGCGGGGATGCTTCAGGTCCCCCTATATCATCGGTTGCAGGTGGCTCTATTGTGGCCTCAACACCCTCATCGTCCGCAGGTGGCTCAATGATGTTTAATCGAGCCGGGTCGGATTCGGGCTCAGTGCGCATAGGCGTTGCGGCAGTTTGTTCTGATTTTTCGGCAGCTACCTCCATGGAAGCTTTCGTGTCCTGATGATGCCCTTCTGGCTGATGCTCTCCGTGATCTTCTCCTGAGCAGCTTTCCGCCTGGGGAGGCACAATTTCTACGCTGCCCTCCCCTGGTCCTAACGCATTTGTCTCGCCAGGTGGTTCGTCTATAGCACCTTCTGGAGACTGTTCTGACGTCGGAGTCACTTCGACAGCTGGGTCGGCTCCATCTCCGACTGTGGGCGGGGCAATAGGCTGTGTAGGAATTGCATCCTCTGAAGATTCGGCTCGACTACCTTCGTCGTCCGATTCGGCTAGCTTCGCATTCACATGCTCTTTATCCCCTGCCAACAGTTGCTGCAGCCGGGAAGCTGCGACTGTATTCCGAGCAAGACTTCGTCTTGAAACAAAGTCCTCGCGCTCGTCACCGTGCTGCGAACCATCCTCGCTATACTCGTCATCCTGCCGTCTTTCATGGGGGTCCTCACTGGAAGCAACACTAGACGGGGTCGAGGACCTATATCCATCAGCCCCGGGCCGTGAACGAGATGAGCTTGGACTTGGGCTATAGCCATAGTCTGAACCACGACGCCCATAAGTCTGGACGGACCTCAAGCCGTTCTGTCCTTGAAAACTCCACGCTCGTGAAGTCTTTGTACGCCCGGCGGGCAATGGATCAGTATTCGGAGTGGTCGGCTCTGGTGGCTGTCTTCGTTTCCAGGTTCCCTTCCTTCGAGGTGTTATTGCGTCTTCTGGCAGATCCACGTGGAATGCGCGCTTGAATGGACATGGCGTCCTCTCAAATCGGAGTACTTTGGGCAGAGCGGCTTTAAGTTCCTCCACTTTCTTCTTGTCCTCTTCCGTTTCTGAAGGCAGCTCAATTCTGTAGTATCTGAACTTCCCTCTGCGCAAGACGAATTTGGATTCCCCATCGACACACCAGCATTGGGAATTTCGCATGATGGTGTGGATGACCTTCTGATCGGCGGATTTCAGGAAATAGCTGGAGCCACGGACCTTCTCTATTACGATGGCACCGGTTGAAGCCAGAATCTCTGAGCGCGATCGCCATGGCAGGGTTTCTACCGTGTCAATTGGGTAGTCGACATCAGGTGGAGTCTCTTTGCTCTGTGGAGGGATCGATTCTGTTGGAGGGGAGAAGGCAATAATGCGCGCCGAGGGATGGGAGTATAGAATATCGGCATCAGCGTCTGATTTGTCCAATGCAGCTTTTTCATGGAAGGAGAGTGCGCGTGGGGGAGCAGTAAACGACCGGCGGTAACTTTGGAGGGGAGGAGGCTCGCCGTAGGATGGAGGTGGACTGGCCATGCTGCATTTTCAAAGGCTGCAGCTATCGTAATGGGAAAGCTATCAATTTCGAGACTTGATGCCTATGGTGGAGGCTGTACGAGTAACAAGGAGGATGACTTGTCAACGTGGAGGTTCATGCTTCAAACAAACCTCACAATATCGACCGAGCCACAACGGGCGGCGGCTCCAAGCGAGCAGCCACATGCCGTCGGAGAGGGAACCAGCAGGAAGAGATTAGCGTCTTGGCATCACGTGGAAGCAAAACATCAATTCCCCTCCATCAACAACATCCAACCGTCCAACCGTTTGCGCCGTCCAACCTGATTTGCACATCTTTCTCTCACTCACCCACTTGCTTGCATGACGGCAACCGACTGTTAGGCAACCTTGAAGGTAAGGCTGACGCCATGGTAGGCCACTCGCTGGTAGGCCACCCTTCCTATGGCCCGTTTATCTTCTGCCTCTTCCAAGTTTCGACTGGCTTCCTTTTTCCTCCTGCGCACCCGGACATCGCCCTTACAGTGTACACATCGCATCGCTACTAACCGGTTGCACTTGACTTCGAGACACCAACCCGCGCGCGGGGAGGCGGCAGCTCCTCGCGTCCCTCCCCATCGACCGCCATGGTTCCGCGACCAATGTAACCGATCTCAATCTTGGTTCAGACTCGACCGATTTCGAGAATTGGGGGTCTCTGGCCGCAACCCCCGATTTTTCGAGCAACTGGGATTTATTGGCGTTAGACGATGCACAATTTTTCGAAATGAACGGCCACTGGGCGTTGCCGACATGTCACCCGGAAGCTGAGCAACAAGAATCTCTTGGAACTACCGCTCCTGTTGAAACCACAATTGCGACACTCGATGACTCTTTAGAATACTATCCTGACATACGATATGAGTGGCGCAATGAGTCATGCTTTCCAGACGGCCATGGCAACATGCCTGTACAAGTCCCCGGAATCTCCGGTGGCCGGTCTAATGACGATGTCAGACTTTTGAGCTCAAGCGACTCACCAAGTACCATCGAGGACAATGCCCACCATTGCCTCAAATGCAATCCCCCGAGAGCATTCCAAAAGAGACATCAGCTTACAACACATCAAAGACGGCACGATCCTCCCTTCAGATGTGAGCAGAGTACGTGTAACAAGAGGTTTCAGTATCGAAAGGACCTCACGAGACACCAGAAGACCATCCATTCCAAGCACTACCAACACACCGAACGCTTCCCGTGTCCTAACACAGGCTGCGAATGGAGCTTGAATGGGGGCTTCAAACGTCATGATACTCTTCGTCGACATCTCCGAAACGTTCACCCAGCATCAAATTTTTTCGCAAATAACATATCCTGACAATGGTTGAAGTCATCTAAGATTGGGTTCTGCTGGCTTAAGGAAGCTGGAACAGGACCAGTACACCAAGAGGAATGGCTGTAGGCTGCTTCTGTTCCAGGTCCCTTATGACAGCACTCTGGCGCGAAGTTTTCTTTCTTTTTTCATTCCTGTCGTCATCTTGCCAGGGAACGGACATTGAGATATCTGGGGTCGATGCATTGTTATACGTTGGCCACATACGTTCTCCACAAGACGGATTTCAAGACAGATGCTCTTATGAAGGTGACACCCAGCAACCCTTCCGGAACGACGGTACAGGCGAGAAACGGCTCATCGCTTATACCGTCGTCTCGGAAGAGTAGCTTGATGTCGCCTTCATGAGGGCAGCTGAAAGTGGAATCCTTGCGTGTTGATACAATGCTAGATTCTCGTGATATTCACTCAAGCTTTCTCTGCCACCAACCTGGACTAGGTGTTTATGGCACAATTGCGCGAAGACAATCAGTTCCTTTGCCCGCCCCTGCAGGATTCAGTATGGAGGATGTTAGTTGTATAGTAACCTCTAAATGCCGAAAGATCAAAGTTCAGGCTTTTCAACGTGCTGAGAAGTGTCTACCTACTCTCGTTTGTGTCCTCTTACGTTTCTTCAAGTGTCTCGACCAATGTCGCAGTTTCTAGCTACATGATGCTGTCCTGTCTAAATGTTACTTCGGGATCGCTCACGCCTATTGGGCGAGTTGGCAGCTACCGGTCCTTCGCCGGCTGTTTGGAGTTCGGCTGGACGTGTCGGGCCCGGGCTGCTCAGTTGCGGTGTCCAGTAGGTCCGCAAAAGTCACGGACAAACGCAACTTTTCGTATACCACGTTCTTAGATATATAATTACTCGGTATTGAAAGCCTAGATAGTCTAGTATATTCTACAATATAAATAACTAGGGGTCGCCTTAATAAGTCATCGAGATATCGACTGATGAAAACTACCTGTTTTGGTGGGAAACGGGGTTTATCCGGTGACTTTTGCGGAGGTGCTGTATTGATGGACGACGGACCACGGCCGGGGTCAACGGGGCGGCCTACAGCGTGGCCTATGAGAGGCCTATCATATTCTCCGCCACAGCAATGTATCCCGATGGTTCATTCGAGGAGAAGAACTTGGACCATGAGACGCCATCAAGCCTCTGAAAGACCCGAAGGTCTATAAAAGGCTTACAATAGACCGTCGATTGGAATCGATTCAGCAGTTTCGTTCCATTTATCCTGAAGGAAAACTGCCCTTCACTGACCATAACATCCAATGGCGGACACCGTCGACCGTCGAAACAGTAGGTCTATCCCAATATAACTGTCAGTGGTTTGATTGAGCTGCTAACGCATGTCCAGACCCTCGTCATGACATTTCTGTGAAATCCAACGTGACCTCAACTCACTTTTGCGAACACTCCACGGTATCAGAGACGTTGCAGACCTCATGTTTGAGAGGGAGCGGTTCACCGAGACTCGTCAAAGCCGACCTCATCCCACACGAGCGGCAAGACGAAATCACTCGAGATCAGCAGACACGACTCTGGGTGCAGAGCTGCCACGGCTATTCCCATGTCGGAGACCAGGAACAGAAGAGACGAGACTCGATCAGCCAGACACTTCGATCGGCGGCTGCACTAGCAGAGCAGCTTGAGAAGTTTAACGCCATAGGGGGAAAATTGGACAGTGACAAAGGAGTCGAGAACGAGCCAAGTTGCCAGAGCTTGCAGTTCATTGGGGGCTGGACGGATGAGAGGGGAAACCATTATTGACGGTCTGTGGTTTTTCGACGTAGTGATATGAGGGCAATATCGACATCCTTTTCTCTTGCGATTCGACTTCGTTGACGGTATATTCGGGGCGATACTTGAGATGTCCCAAGGAAGACGCCCTGGAAATGGCTAGTGGTTGGAGATATGTCAAGGAAACTTACTGTAATAATCACGAGCGAATTCTGTACATGTTACCTGAGAACATCAGACCGGCCACATTTGCAGGAGGAGAGAGTCGTGCCTGCATTTCTCTGTGACTTTGTTCAAGTGGCATATTAGGACGCTAGTCCTAAGAAGGACTAGCAAAAAAAATCAGGTGAGATGGCGTACGAGCTAAATGCAACTGACGCGTCGCGCGTCGCGCCTTTCTTGCATCTTACAAGTACCTCGTCCGCTCGTATACCTCAGGTGCCTGTAGTGGCTCCAACATGTCAGCTTCCTGACGGACTTTTCTGGAGTCCCAATCAATCAATACTCCGTCAGCGATGTATCTTGACTTTGTGGTACCGACTACCCCACCTCTTCTAAAACAAATGCAGGACCCTTCCGTTCCAAGACGATTATCCCCTAGTTCCGTGGCTGTCTGGGTGTGAACTTCATCTTCAACGGTGGCAAGGTCAGTGTGAATGTGTCGAGTACCTCGGTGTCAAACTTGACACCATCTTCGCCGTCGGCAAACGCAATGTCGAAGCCCATGGCAACCCTTGACAAGACCATGCGAAGTTCCATCATTGCAAGCTGCTTCCCTACACAACCAAAAGCACCTAGTATGCGAATCAGTACCGGTTATGACACTAGATGGCTACCCTGGAAATATGGCCATACCTTTCGAAAAAGGGAAGAACGGGCTCTTGTCCGCATTCATCTCCTCCCACCTTTCGGGAACAAACTCCAACGGGCGCTCGAAGTATCGAGGGTCTCGCTGGAGCGTGTGGACCGGAACACCGACGATGGTGTCTCCAGGGATATACACTTCATCGACCTGCAGACCTTGCGGAGGGGTGATTCGAGGAAGACCGCCTGGCACAGGGGGCTTGAGACGCAAAGTTTCGTAGATGATCTTGTCCAAATACGAAATTTTCGACTTCTCGTACGTCCAGTCCTTCTCTCCTGCAGGAAAGACGGCATCGAGCTTCTCTTGCAGTTTTTTCTGCACGGTTGGATGTCTCGCTAGGTAATAGAAGGAGTAGGCTAGGGCAGCCGCTGTTGTGTCACTGACAACGCGTTAGGCAACTTTTGGAGTCATGGCTTCGAAAATTGGACAGTGGCATACCTTCCAGCAATGATGATCAGGCGAGTATCCTCACTCAATGCAAAGTCCGATGGCGGTGCAGATTGGTCGTTTTCGTACTTGGCCTTGATCAACCAAGAAATAACATCCCGGGGCTCGTGGTCCTTGCCCGTGGACTACAAATCAACTTGTCAGCAGCCTTTACCAGATCTCGAACGGAGAAGATGGTGACTAACTCTCTTCTTCTCTTCGAGTTGATTTCGACAGTACTCCATGAAATCCTGAAACGTGCCAGAAATTCCAGGAATGGCACTGAAAAATGCCAGCAGCCAGGGCAGAGTCCCGAGAGTGCCGATCGTGATCATCTGATCATGCAGCCCCTTGATGGCTTTATGCTCCCCTCCAGTGGTAAGCATTTCAAAGTCCTTGCTCAATCCAATGTCTCCCATGACATCGAAGGTGTAAAACATAGACCACTCTGTGATATTCATGGGCGACCCTGCGAATGCACCTATGCGGGATACCAAAAGATCTGTCTTGGATTTTACGCGCGGCTCGTATGTGGAAAGTGCTAACAGAATGAAGTCAGCAGCGGCTCAATGAGGGTGTGGAACGGCGCTTCACCTTTGATGCTGAAGCCACGGTCCCAAGCCCGTCTTCTCTGTCGCTGGATCTGCATGTCTCGCGTCGAGTTAATGGAGCACTTGTTTATGTCGTTCGACACTTGGCTATACCAGGTCGCTTTGGGCAACCTGGAAGGAGGTCCATATACAAGCTCAATGGCTGAGGCGCGGTTTATTGAAATTTCGCGAGGACCTAAGCCCAAGGTCAGCAGAGGCGGTTTTCGCCTTTCCACATCCTGCATACCGATTCGAACGAAGTCCCCGTATTGCTTATGCAAGGCCTCGACTTCATAGTTGAACTGGACTTTCTTCATCGACCTCCGAAGAGCCCAGAATCGAGATAGTTTCGCGCCCCACGGTCCGGGGAATTTCCTCAGCCGATGGAAAAACAATCGATAGATGGCAATGCTGCCATAGACGCCAACAAGAAACACGACGTCCACAACGAAGACCCTGAACCCTGCCGCCAGTAGGCCATACTGTGTGACCACGGCATAGCTCAAGAACGCCACCGTGTTGAAGCTAGAAAAGAGGATGAGGAGTGTCCATACTCGATTATCCAGCTCGATTGGACGTATACTTTGGTGGAAGATGACTCCCAAGACGAAAGCGGTGGCAGCGGTGACTCCGAGCTCGGCTTTCAGCACCTGCCTCAGCAGGATCGTGATCGGCCCCCCGAGTTCCATGCTGATGGTGAAGACCACCCCCTTCGAACGACGTGTCAGAGTGGAATCAATATCCGCCTGGGTAAGAGGAGAAGCGTTAGAAGCTTAAGGGTCCCAGGAGGAGAGTCACTGGTTAATAAATCACCTACCGAAATGGCAAGTCTAAACAAACGGGAAGAATGAGGTGATACCAAGAGGGCTCCACGGATGAAAACCGTCCTACCTACAGGCACCACGGGATATCGACATCAAACCAAGGCACCATACCGAGGCTCCCCAATTTCCCACCATTGCAGTGGTCCGACGCACCACTGTGGAAACGACTTTGTTGGCGAGTTGAGGTGGCAGCAGATTTGCATGACCGTTGATATGCTAGTATGCATGCAGCCACCGTTTTCCTCAGTCTCCGAGGAGGATCCGAGCTTGGGCACCCTGGGGCAACAAATGACACGACTACAGTGCGTAGCCTTGTCTCGCTTTACCAGGCAGGAAGGCTAATGGGTAAAGCCCAAGCTTGGGATCACGTCGATCTTTGTTTCCTCCAGGGACGCTCTACCTACAGAGCTCGATAAAGGGTGCGATCCTGTGCGCCTTCTATCCCACCGCCCGGTTTGTGGGCCGCGCAGTTCTTCATGTGCTTCACCACCCTTACAGTGTGCAGATCTCAGCAAGTAACTACCTACGTGCCTAATGATCAGGCACTTATGGGACTGGGACCACTGTCTACGCATTATCCATGAGGAAGTCGACATTTAGGGTTCGCCGCGTGCACCGTTGGGACCGGAACCACAGAGCCGGGCACTTGGGATATGCAAGGCGCCGTTTCTAGATACTGACTTCAGGTTGTCCTTGACTGGAACTCAGGTATATGTATGTACCTGCCCCAACAAACTTGCGATCATCGCCCCAGTACTTGCTTGGTGCTCGTCTCGCCTTTTCTATCGAGGTGGACAAGACCTTTGCGGCCCGCACGGACAAGGCCCGCGAATAGGTCGGGGCCGATACGTTTCGTCCATTGTCGATCAGTGGGGTTTTTGTTACTGGAGCAGTGGTCCTCGGTGAATCCTCCCGTCTATCCATTTCTTCAGTACCTAATAGTATTACAGGCAATGTTGAAGCCGCCCTCGATCCCCAAGAGCGTTTTACTACTTGGACTTGGTAGCTATTGTCCTGACTGTCCACCAACCACCCACCCATACTCTTTTTTCCCTCCTTGTTTTGTGTCCGATATTATCATTGTTATATGATACTAACTAGAGTCGGTCAGGCAAGTGTCTCGTCTCGTCTCGTCAATTCATTGCTCCACCATTGCCCGGGAATTACTCCGTCCTCGCACCTAAGGAAAACGCTCTGGAATATGCAGATCATTGACTGTCGCGTCATCGCTTAGAGCGCGCGATGGAGTTGAAAAAAGGGGGCTCCCAAACAAATACTCCGACCTGGTGGTGAAGCGGCGACGCCGTCGGTCCCATCTATCTCCCCGTCACCTTGTCGTTAATCCATATGATACCACCTAGAGCCTTGTGGAACAACCACTGAAGCCAGGATTCCGACGTTGCCTCCTGTCCTCTCTCCACAAAAACCCAAAACCACTGCATGGGTATCTATACGAGGAGATCCTGTCGATCACTAACGGTGAATGTACCTACGTACCTGCTACTCACGTACTTGGTATGTATCTACGACTCGTACTCGTACACTTCGGACTCTTCCCCGGACCTACAATGTACCTAACCTCTCTCGTCGACCCCTTTGCAACCAATACATTCGACCAAGAACCCCGACCGTTGCAAATAATCATACCTAGTCGCATGGCGCCAATTCTGGGCTCCTTGCCCGCCCGGTCCGCGGCCCGGGTCGCCTCTAGGTTTTTGACGCCATCAAGCCGCCGTACCAAGGAATATTGTTTTCGGTGCAAATGCCAGGAGGAGCCTCTAGACCCAAATCCACAACATGTACCCGTTGCCTACGAACAGACAATGCAAAAGCTCGCCGATGCACATGTGAATTCCACCCACGTCCCCTCCATAGTTACCAGAAGCAGGAGTACCTCCCCCTCCCAGGCAGGTAGGTGCACACACCACCAACTACCAAGTACAGCGGCCCAAGCGCCCTCTTCTGTTACCAGAACACAATCCCTTCGAGCGACGACTTGGTCTATACGCGTCCCTTTTCGGGGTTTCAGGATCGGGGCCTGAATATCTCGGCAGGTACACCCCCCTCGCTCTGCTTTGTCTTTGTGGTCTTTATAGATCCCAACCCCCTCTGGATGGCACGAGTAGGGAACCCTTCTCGTCAGACTTTTGTTGATCGTCAGGGCGATTGAGCATATCCAGTCAAGTCTGGGGAAGATCTTGTCCTCGTGAAGTCGTGGTATCCTCTGCTTGTTCCTTCGCCACGGTATCGGTTAGGGCTTCGAGACTCGGACCTATGTACCTCGTACCCAGAAATCCAACGCCCGAGCAAAGCCGGGGGGTTCCCTGTCCGCGGAGAATGCCTCTGTTCAATGATTCGTCTCACCTCGTCTAGGTGCTCGTACTCCGTGTGTCTCGTGGCTGGCAGGTTGATGTCGCGTGCAAGACCTATTTCGTAGCTGTTGAGTTTATCAGAGTCGAAGAATGCTCAGCAGGGTTCCATATCCCCTTGGGCGTTACCCTCTCGCCATGACGCTCTTCCTTGATGTCCCTAGAAAGCCCAGAAATATGTAGTAGTGTAGAGAGAATGAGTGAGATTTCATCCCAGAAGCGCCTTTTGAGCCCGACCACGGCATCGAGCATGAGAACGAGATAGAACTGTCTATGACTCGTGTTCTGACTAGAGTACCGAGTACTGAATGGTGTAATTCCCCATTCCAGCCGCCCTGCCCATCTCTTTGGACTTTTGCGAATCCCAAACGGGGAGTGGCTCACGCTTCCCACCCCCAATTTGAACCAGGATTCAATTTCTTTTTTGGACGAAAAAGTTTTTCACCTTCCCCCCGGGCTAGCGACCCATATCCTGTCTGTGGACGGGACAGGGACATGGGGGCCAAGGGAGTTCCATGTCTACCTATGTAGTAGGTGACTCGTAACGCGAACTACCTAAACGGTTCCCTCAAGCTCAACGGCTCTGGCTCCCCGGGCGTGTGATCGACGCTTGACGATTCCTTTCGAGGTTCTTGGGCACGAGTCGTGGCCCACGGGAGAAGGCGTAAAGCCTTGCCACCTTGTCCAGGTTCAAGATCAGGTTCAAGATCAGGTTCAAGTCAGGCACAGGCACTTTGCCGAGAACCTGTGCGCCTGTACTAGTCCGTCCTAGTTCAATGGTTGGCTCTTTTCTGACCTCGAACACAGACATATATACGTACCAAGTAACACACCTCGCATATATGCACCAGATCAATGACCTCTTTCTCATTTTTGCTGGGCCAACGACTTCAGAATCTGCGGGTCAGGGGGGAGCACTTTCTTTCTTCCCTTCGCTGCGCAACAAGCAGCGGCTTTGTTTGTGTATGACTTGAAATCTCCCCAGGAACTCAGGCTCGACACCTTTCTTTCTCGGGTATCCAAAGATGGCTGAGCCAAAGAGCCTCCAGTTGACGTGCCATGTGGTCATCAACATTCTCTTCGCCATCGGTGAAGGGAGCATTCTCCTGCGCCTCTGGACCCGAGCCGTCGTCTTGAAACAGCTGGGCTGGGATGACTGGGCGATGTTGGCTTGCCTGGTAAGAGTCTCCTTTCCCAGCTATTTTCTTTGAAAGAGCCAGTGTACTGATACTCGAGCGAAAACATAGTTCTTCAACGCCGGTCAACAGGTGGTTTTGTACATGTTTCTCAATCACGGCGGTGGAAAGTATGTACTCACCCACTCACATCACCACACAAACGGTTCGCCCTTTCTCCTGCTTCTTCGTCTGCTAAGAAACTTCCTCCCCAAAAACAGAACCATGCAGGCCGTACTGGCAGATGATCCAGAAAACCTGACGACACTGTTAAAGGTGAGTCTTTGTGTATCTTGTTCAGAAACACAGACACACACATTCTCTCTCGTCACACCCACAAATCACTAACAAAATTTCTCTCGCATCGCAGGTCCTCTATGCCGAAGAAATATACTACATCTGGATGCACTTCTGGATCAAACTCTGCTTCCTGCTCTTCTACCTCCGGCTCGCCCAGGAAAGACGGTTTCGCATGCTAGTCTATGGCACTATCGGATTGACCGCGGCCGTCACCATCGCCATTTGGCTTATATACTCGCTGCAATGCCATCCTTTGCAGGCATTTTGGTATCCGACGCTGTTCCCCGATGCGAAATGTCTGCCACCAAAGGTGACGTACTTTGTGCCGGGAAGTTTGGTAGGTCGTCTGCGTGTTGTTCCTGTTCCTTTTTTGGTTGAGCCTCTGAAAACCTTCAATTTGGCTAACGAGACGTTTGGGAATGACAGGAACTCGTCCTCGATTGCGTCATCCTCTTCCTCCCCGTTACGGTCTTCTGGGGTCTTCAGATGACCTGGCGCCGCCGACTCGCTGTGTATTCTGTCATCACCATGGGTGGACTGGTGGTGGTCGTGTCGGGCCTCCGGCTGATCGTGGTCAACCAGTTCGCCACCAACCCGGACTTCACGTACATTCTCGGTCGGATGATCCTCATCTCGGCTGTCGAGATCCAGGTGGGCATCTTCGCCGCCAACATGCCGGGAATCAAGGCCTTCTGGACTGTGTGGCGCAAGGGCGAGCTCACCTCAAGCGGCACGAAAAAGTCCCAGGGTAGCGCCGGCGCGGTCAGTAGCGGACAGGCGCACCAGCTCGCGACCCTGTGGAACAGCCGCGCCGGTGGCGCCGACAAGAACAAGAACAAGAAGGGTGCGCAGGAACATAACAAGGAAATCGACTGCGATGGCGACGGCGACGGGTCCGAGCGCCATCTCACCCGGTCGAGGTCGTCGACCGAGCTGTCTATGGGCGTGGGGAAGGGCCAGATTAGCGTGGCTACCGAGTACACCGTGACGGATGACGAGGACTTTCGCCATCCGCGTCGCCAGTCCTACTACCACAACGCGATTCCGGACAATATGAGGTGAACGGCAAAGCCTCGATCACATCAGATGGAGAAGAAAGCAGCTGTCAAGAGAAAATTGGTCACACAAACAGGGAGTGGAACACAGGTCTGGAGCAGGTTAAGGACTGCAGAACCACAATGCCACAGTACAGCAGCAGCAGCAGCAGCAGCAGCATTATTGGTAACAGGAAAGCTGAGCTGTCACAAGAAAAGTCGCACGAGAGATGTATATTATCAAAAGGCCAGATAACGAGAATACCAAAAGCCAAAATAGGAAGATTAGGACGTTCGGTGGCCCCAAGGCAAAGGCTACAGGGTTCAATCTCATGCGTCAAGGAATGATCATTCCAGAGAGGATGCTAGAGGTTGCGCCCTTCGTCCTGGGCGTCAGTGTCAGTGGCCGTGATCCGGGTCTAATGTACGATTTTTCTAGTCCTCGTAGGGCTCCGTCTGAATAGACCTTGGAGTAATCGCCGCTAAGATCTCAAAAGGACTAGCGTCATGGTCAATACATCGCCTTGGTAGTATATATCATGTGACTGGTATCACGTGTCGACTAGCGTGAGTATTTCCCGCCTCTTGTGTCGTCTTGTATCCGGACTCACCTCTCAATGAATCAACCTTTCACTCTTACACCGGGCAACCGGTAATTTTCTCTCTCTTTAGAGTTCCTCATGCCATTCCATCAAGCGAAGGAAAACAAAGAGGGGTTGTTGCCTCGTAAGGTCGTTTGACTTCCACCAGAACCGAAAAGAGCCAAAACACTCCTTTTCAAAAAAAAAAAATCCGAGTCTCAAAAAGCATATCTTACCTCTTTGAGAGAAGCTGAACTGTTTATTGTGAGTAAAGTTTTACGCCGGCGACAAGGCAGACCAGGACATGGCGAGTGGCTTCGGCTGTGACTTTCTCCCACGCAGATCCCTACCTATTTTGGTATCCAGCCGCGTCGATCTGCGCAGTGGTGGAGACCCATACCACCGCTGCCTTCTCCTTGTTTGAGGCCTCTCGGATACTACATCCGGATTCGGTCTCTTACTCATTTGTACGAGGTACGTATAGGATACTCCCTCTTTCTTCGTGCTGGCTTGGACAAGCGGTATGAGGTACTCGGTACGGGGTAACTTGTTGCTGACAGCAGGGACCTGAGGCGTTTTCGGCTCGTTGATTTCCCGTCTGATTCCTGGTCTTTCGATATACTCAAGATTGTAGTTGGATGGCAGGTCATCGACCAGCAACTTCAATGACGAATTCTTTCCAACAACTTGTGTGCTTGACACCACCATCTTTCATCCTAGTCCCATCAAGGTTCATGGGCTGCAAGAGACGCATGAGGCTTGCTCTTCCGAGTTTGTGTGCTGCATGAAAAGCAAATCTGCCTGACATCGGACCGATCCTTTAATGTTCGTCGCAGTCCTGATACCCTCCTCGAGATCTGTCTTTCCCGAACCATTGATCACTAGTCTCTTCTCTCCTGGACCATATGTCGAATTCTTGCACACTCGCTCTTCGAAACGAGCCCAGCAATTACCCGCTTTCAGACTGTCTTGGACTTTGAGAGGTAGGTAGGATGAGGGCACAGCAAGGCTTCGTCAAGGCGCTGGATAACCACGATAATCCATCCCACAGCAAGTCTTTGTCAACTGAACCGAGTTTTCACAAACCACGAGCGACAGAGATGGCTTGACGGGAGGCTTTAGGCCTGGGATCAGCACAAAAAACCCCCTGCATCGGAAATGATCTCCGCTGCAGGGTGGCAGTGCAACGTCCGAGGTGCCCGGGTGTTTCGCTGTTGAGGCAATGATCGGCAACGCGCTTTTGACCACTACAGAGACTGTGAATGGTGAGCTTCATGACCTTATTATTCATGTTGGTCTAGTTGCGGTCTGGACTCGCGCTTATTGTCTTAGTCCCAGCATGTCCAGTTGCTCTTTTCAGGATCGAAGTACATACGGCCAGTACTGGGGGTTAGGGTCCTGCCTGCTTACTTGTAAGGAGACCTCCCAAGTTCAGGAACTTGATAAGTTGCGACCGCCAAGTACAGAGCAAAGAATGTACCATCTTCTGCTCTTGCTAGAGTTTTCCTACGGACTACCGTTCCACAGGTAACCTGCGAGTACCGGTTCTTGCATTCGCGAGGAAAGCAATCAGGCATCATCATCGAGCGCTTGCTTCTCCTTGCCTGCTATCGTCACGACCCAGGAAGATGAGCCTTGGGACCAGACTGTCGCCATCTCGGGACCAACGGCTGCAGGACCCCTGCTCGAGGAAACACTCTCCATCACATCCGCACAACAGGACGAGGACAGGATGCCAAACGTGTCGGGACCGCAAGGTAAGCGGGTCATGGTGCATGATGCTGTGACAATCACCATCCTCCTCCTCCTCTCCTCTATACCAACCGATCATGATTTGACGCTCATCACATTCAACCCAACTGATACAATCCTCCTCTCAGGTCAAATGCGACGAGGTACGGCCGAGATGTGAACAGTGCCAACGCCTCCAACTCCTCTGTGGATGGAAACCGCGCCTCTATTTTCGCCACGACACAGCGCGCATCCTTCGCCAGCATTCCAACGTCAACAAATTCAGCTGCCGTGTTTGGCGTCTCGACAGTGCTTTGGAAATCCTTCCTGGCCATCGCGACAGCTCTCCGAGCTTCAATGCGTGCCACAGTACTGAGCAGACGAGACACCAGGCCACCCCTGACAACGCTGGCGCCGTGATAATGGTAGCCACGCCCGAGAGCTTTGAACATCTCTCCCAGTATCGCCAATCGCCAAAGAGAGACCAAGTCCTGTGTCCCTTTTCACCAACTTCGAACATATCGCAAGCGTCAAAACATCCCGTCGCTGTGCCGTGTGGAGAGCCCCATGAGTCAGACCCAAATGTCCACATGGTCCGGACGAGCAACGACATGCACGCCTTTCTGAGTCTGGAATCCGAAGGTTGGACCCGATCCCAGGCCTCCTCCCGCAATCCGGCCGTGCGATCAAAACGCGGCGATGAATCGCGTGGTCTTGTCCGCGCAGTGGCGAAGGGAAATGAAACATCGCTCTTGGCCGACTATGGAGCTCGCATCTGGCGGGAACTGGCGCGGACGACGGCCGAACACCTTATCTCTTACCGGTGCAAGTGATGTGATGTGTGCAAACAACTCTGAAGCCCGTATGAGGGTATTATGAATCTCGACTTCCGAGTCTAAACGAAACCTAATCACAGTTCCGTTACAACAGTGGCAGATGTGTAACCACCTACGTCGCATCGCATTTAACGAGAAACATGGAACGTTGTACAAAGGCACCGGAACTGGGTTTTCAGTATGGTGTTTTGATTGGCGTAGCCAACTTTTTGCTTCGGGATTGTCATCGGGTTTGATATGTCTCCGCTTTCACAGAGATGTGTACGATGACCGGGAAAATATTGGTGCATTTTTGCAGAGTTTGGACAAAATGCTATGATCTGACCGAATGACCTCAGCATCTGGCGCGAGGACAATACTGGATGGACGATGTATGGCCAGGAAGCGGGCGGGCGGAATTACAATCGATCTATTTACTCGGCTACAACAGTCCCATCTACCACCCAAAGGCTACCACCCCTCTCGAGCACTGTTCGGCCCCAGCTACCACTCCTCCTAAGAACTACTTGCCGCAGTATCCGCCGTCCACAATCAGACAGGCCCCCGAGGTGAAAGTATTCCCCGGAGCGACGAGGAAGAGCATAGCGGGGACCAGATCTTGCGGCTCGCCCCATCTCTGCATCGGCACCCGCATCATGAGGTAGTCGACCATCTTCTGGTCGTCCTGGTACTGGGCCGTCATGGACGTGCGCATGAAGCCAGGGGCGATGCAGTTGACCTGGATGCCCTTGCCGGCCCACTCGTTGCTGAAGGCCTTTGTCATCTGCAGCACGGCGCCTTTTGTGCTCGAGTAGACGCTCGTGTTGAACCCGGCTTGGTACGAGGTGACGGAGGCGATGTTGACGATTTTTCCTGGCCGGTTGAGAGAGAAGAGCTTGCGCCCGAATTCTTGCATCGAGATGTAGTAGGATTTGATGTTGACTTCGACCAGCTACACACAACAGAGGGGGAAAAAAAGGAAGGATGTCAGTTTTCGGGTTTCTTTTTAGAACACGAACTGTGTTATTGTTGTCGTTGGGGGAAAAAAAACCTGAATCCTACTCACCAAATCAATCTCATCGTCGGTCGCATTCTCGCAGAGATTCCGCCGCATCACGCCCGCGCAGTTGATCAGAATGTCCGGCACAATCCCGGCCTGCCATATCGACGCGTAGCACTCGCGCAGGCTCTTGGGGTTGCGCAGGTCGCAGTGGAAAGCTACCAGTTTCTTGCCGACACCTTCGACCTTGGCTTTCAGATCTGCCGACTGCGGGTCGTTGGGCGCTTCGATCGAGACGATGGTCGACACGCCCGCTTGGGCTAGGGCAGTTGCTTGTGCCGAGCCCAGGCCACCTGGTCGTTGTGAGAGAGTGAGTGAGTGAGTCGCAACATGATGAACAAAGGACTTGATTGGCTATAGCTGGAGGGAGGCGGGGGAGTGTTATCATATACCTGTTGCTCCCGTCATGATGGCCGTCTTCCCCTCCAGCGAGAACATGTTTCCCAGATATTGCGACGCCATGATGGATCGAATATGGATCTGTGTCACTCTGTCCTCTGGTCACGAAAGGTGTCTAGGCCCACGAGGTGAAAACGAAGCTCTTATTTCTTTTTTCCCTAAACAATCCGTGACAGCGTGTGGCACGGAGCGCAACAGGTAGATAGATAGATAGATATGTATCTTTAGCTGGGAATTACCGGGAGGAAAAAAAGTAAAAAAGTTACACAGCTCGCAAAAAATCCACTTTGTCGTTAGCCGAGAAAAAACCATGTCTCGTCTCCAGTCCCATCCACCTCTCGTCCATACCTAGGTATACAATAGGGGACAACTCGGGGTGAGGTGAGGAGTAGACAAATACATACAGCCGAACCCGGTGCGGAGAATGAAGAATGAGGAAGGCAAGAATGGGGAAGTAGGCAAAGTTTAAAGTTGGAAATGCTTGGCAGGGGGAAGTCGGAGCCTCGGAGAAACAAGGCTCCGACTTCGGCGAAATGTGAGATTCATGCGACCATGTAATGTAGTAGGTATCTGTCGGTAAGTGCGTCGTGTACTCGTTGTCGTCAAGTCATTGCGCGCGTCAGATGGTTGACAAGATACAGAATGTATATTGGTCGGACCCCTTAGAAAAGACGTGATGGCGTAGTGGGATAGGAGTATGTGTATGTACATACCACTCTCAGGGCCTACAACTACAACTCAGTTCTTCTGAGGAAGCAGATGATGAACCATAGCGGTGCACTGGCATGTCTATTTCTTTTTTCCCCCCTAATCTCAGACCGGTTGTGATAGCCTATATGCTAAATGACGGATTGGGCGAATGTCCAGGCAAGAACGAGCCAGGAGATTAAGATGCAACATGTCCTCTTATCCGACCCGTATATGACTCTTGACCAAACCTCATCGCAGGTTCGAGGTACAGTGGCATCGGCGGACTTGGATCATACTGCCTCGAAGCCTAGACGTGGATGTAGGGCTATTTTGAGCGAATTTGCTGACAAGGGGAGATGTCCTGACTCCTGAGCAGGATCACCAAGGTTGTCAGATAGCCGAGCTCCCAATCCAGAACCCTGCGGTTTTCCCCCCTGCGGATGAGTAGACATGTCAGCTCTTTATCTTCCATCTCGAACGGAGATTAGCTGTCCAGTAATACCAAGGTCAAGTTGAAAGCCCGAGGGTAACAAGGCCGCTTCTTCGGTGGAAAAATCGGACGCAGCCCAAACAAGTTGTCGTCAAAGCGCGCTGGATACATATCTCGTACTGGGCAAAAACAGGTCAAAGGAAGCAGACTAAAAGAAAGTAGCTCGGGTGGGCCTTTAATAGACTTGTATACGGTATGACCATTGGTATCAACTGCTTACCGTTCAGTCATAGCCCGGTTGTATAACCATCGACGGGTGTACTAATCCAGAACCAATCCAATGAAATAGTGCACCGTGACCATCAGGTCAAGACCTGGCCCGATCTTCACCGTACTAATGTGGACAAAGGCCATCCTGAAGGAAGTACGTTGTCATCGTCCACATGAGGTGAGAGTGATAGGGGTCATCCTTGCCGTCAGCATCGAACCTCAGGAGCCAGGATATAGTCCCCAGCCACACCAAACACTCCACATCCCCCGCAAATGTGCAGTACAACATGAGGTGCTTTGTTCCGACAGGGCTTTTAGGCCATCAGCGGAAAAATTCACCGTCTCACCGTCGTTGTGCCGTTCGACGGCTTTTCCTGATCTGGACGTGCCCGATAATAGAACCTCCCTTGTTGAGGTGTTGGCCAGCCTAATTTCTGCACGGATACGGAATATAATCTTTCTTTTAAAAGTTCGAATCGATAGCCTTCCCATCAAGTCTGCCACCAAATATTACAACCCCTCTGAGATATTTAGTGAATCAAGGGCGCCAACTTCATCCAGAATCAATAAATCGGTCATTCGATACCATGACTTCCCACGCTCCAGCTTCTACAAGCCATATGCCGGCCCCCCAGTTGCACCCAAACGTAAGAGCCTCCACCGGTACCCCGGCCGATAATATCAGGTTCCAAACACAGACAAATTGGCAGGCGGGAACTTCTGCTGCAGCACACCCTCCTGGCCTTCAGCCGCCGCCGCCCTCGTCCCGCCCGCATGGATCATCACCACCATCCTCAGTGCGTGCCATGACCCCTTCGACCAGAGGCCAGACTAGCACGACATCCTCCATTGCCAGCGGGCAGAGTGTTCCCCCACTCACACCTGGTTCTGTCGGAACAACCCCCGCAGGCTCGCTGCGAGGGATCCCTCCTACGCCCAGATCCGAACGTCCCATGACAGGTTCCATTAACAGCTCGCGGTTCCCGCCACAGTCGACTCGAACCCACCCTACCATGGCCCCCACCATGGACACGTCGGTGCGGAGTCCCCAGTTTTCGAGCTTCTCTTTTGGCCGCCAAACTGGATCTTCCCTCACGAGCGAGGGATCGGTACAGGGCGACATAGGCTCAATGGGTGGGGGCTCAACGCGTGGGCTTGCGCCTTCGAGTAAGTTCGGCAACAGCTCTTCACCATCTATTGCGAGTCGGTCGAATTCATCCTTTGGCCAGTTCAGCAACACCAACAGTGCCGGTAGCCAGGGGTCCCAGCCTATGGCTACCAATCACCCGCAAGAACCCGTCGCGGGTGGCAGCCGTTTCCCAGGAGCATACGGCGACCACGACACTAGTGTTAATCATCAAGCAGCCATGGGCGAAGGAGACGAGAATTGGGGGGAAGAAGAAGAACACTATCCCGAAGACGAAGAGGACGACGACGAGGGTTTATACGGCGATACCGAGGATGCGACATTCGCCACGCACATGGAGGACGAAGAAGATGATGAGAATTATCAGTATCAGTAGATAATGGTGAGGGCTCCAACCGTTTCAGTGGAGATGGAGTCAAACTCACAAAATATAATCTACAATAGAGGATGAGAAATGAGCGAGGTGGAAGCGGAGAATTGCAGCTGTTAGACTATAGAGAGGCTCTGGGTCGAACCCTTCTCCCACAGATCTGTGTTGACAAGGTAGTTCTTTGATTAAATGCATTTTCATAGAACAGACGGTGGTGAACCAAGTGAGAAACCCCTTCCAATGCCTCCTTTTTTAACGCAGCCTTGCCTGCGAATCCACGTTTGGTTGTGTGCCAAGCCCCAGCCTCGTCGACAACTGCGCCACTGACGAAACTCTTCCAGCATCAACCACCATCACCACCACCACCACCAGGGCACTCTTTTGTTCCCACTCCTCGTCGTGTCGTTGAGACTCTAATTTATCCGGAGACGCATCCTCTGGGCTGGACTCTCGCTCAACTCACTCCGCATCATGTCCAACTTTGACCCCAATGCGATCCTCCGCGGCGCGCAACTCACCTTTGTAGGCGCCCATCGAGCTCTTCAAAACCCGGAGCTGTTCACCACCGCACACTATCGACAAGCCGCCATCGCCGTCTGCGCGGGCCTCGCCATCCGCATCATCCTCAACATTCCCATCTACCTCGTCAAAATCTTGATCTGGATCACATCCATATTTGTCAACCTCGACCATGAGACCTGGGACGACAAGGTCATCTCGGGCCTGGACTTCATCTCACGATCGGTGCTTCAGATCCCTTTTGGTCTGATGATGATCATGGGCTCCGTGACCCCGACACTGGACAACCTGTTCATGGAGTCCCTGAAGTGGGTCGACACGACGTACGTGCAGAAGCACAAGTCCGACGACCCGGCCACCTTGCGGGGTATGTACTATCCAACCCTCAAGATGTACTCGACGCATGGCGACCGGGAGAAGAAGGAACGGCGGTCCCCGGTCGATGGAGTCATCATCTTCTTCACCAAGTACGGCCGACGAGCCGCGATCTCACTGGCCATCTACGCCCTCACGTTCCTGCCAGGGGTAGGCCGTTTCGTCCTCCCCGCGGCGTCGTTCTACACGTTCAACAAGGCCGTCGGGCCCGTGCCGGCGGGCATCGTCTTCGCGTCCGGCCTGGTCCTCCCGAAGCACTACATGGTGCACTTTTTGCAGACGTACTTCTCGAGCCGCAGCCTCATGTCGCGCCTGCTGGAGCCCTACTTCGTCCGCATCCGCTTCACCCCCCAGCAGAAGAAGATCTGGTTCCTCGACCGCAGCGGCGTGCTGTTCGGCTTCTCCGCCGCCTTCGCCGTCATGGTCAAGGTGCCCCTGCTGGGAGTGCTCATCTACGGCATCGCCGAAGCCAGCACCGCCTACCTCATCACAAAGATTACCGAGCCGCCCCCGCCGCCCGGCGGACGCGCCGTCCAGGAGTTCATCGACAGCGAGGTGCGCTGGAAGAACAAGCATCTCTTCCTCAACCTGCCCCTGGACCGTCTCGACGAGTTCAACGCCCGCTTGACCGGTGCGGAAAAGGTGGGTAGTGGTAGTCTCGACGAGGCCACCCAAGTCCCCAGGAGAAAGTTTACATAGAACGAACGGTTTCGGTCAAGTGCAGGTTTCTTCAGAAGTATGAGTGGATGATTAGAACATGATCGAGGAAACGATTTGGTCCGGGATACACTGGTCTCTTTAGAGTTTGTTGGTTCTGGTACGGTTCAACGTTCGGCTGGCTATTGGGGGAAAACAAGCGACGAGAGGATCTCCACAAGGACCAAAAAAAAAAGACTGACAAGATTCAGTCTGGGCTCATTATGAATACATTTGATTTTTTGATTGATCATTGACCATAGTGGGCTTTTCTTTATACCTCCGACTTAATCCGCACGTCTAGCAGGGGGGAATGGCCCATTGCTATACAGAAATATGCCGCCAAAGCACCCGCCATCTTGAGTGCTGTATATCCAACAAGCCTGGTGGCAATCCGGCTCACTTATACTCGTAGAAACCCCTGCCGCTCTTCTTGCCCAGCCAGCCAGCATCCACATACTGCCTTAGCAGCACGCTGGGCCTGTATTTGCTATCGCCCAGACCGGCATGTAACGTCTCCATGATGGCCAGACAAGTGTCCAGGCCGATGAAATCCGCCAGCGTGAGCGGGCCCATTGGCACATTGGTCCCGTTCTTCATGATGCTGTCGATGTCCTCCTTCTTGCCCACCCCGGTCTCCAAGCAGATGATCGCTTCGTTGATGTAGGGCATCAGGATCCGGTTGGCGAGGAATCCCGGGATGTCGGCTGAGACAGAGCAGACTTTGCCCATCTTCTCGCAGAATGCGACGGCCGTCGCGAGCGTCTCGGGAGAGGTCTGCAGGCCGGAGATGATCTCCACGCCCTTCTGGACGGGCACTGGGTTCATGAAGTGCGTCGACACAACCCGCGACGACGCCGAGGTATCGGTGGGGTCCTTTGTGGTCGCACGCGCGATCCTGGTGATGCTGATACTCGACGTGTTTGTGGCCAGGATGGCATGTTTGGGACATGTCTCGGCGAGTTCAGCAAAGATTTTTTCCTTCAACGACGGGATCTCGGGGACGGCTTCGATGACCATGTCCACGTCGGACAGGTCCGATATCTTTGTGGTGGGCCTTAACCTCTCTCTTGTAGCCTTTGCGATCTCTTCGGTGATCTTTTGCTTCGAGACATCCTTTGCGAGGAGCTTGTCGGCGAATGCGAGGCCGCGGTCGAGCGACTGTTGGGACGTGTCCACAAGCGTGACTGGGACTTGGGCTTTTTGAGCTGCGACAAGTGCAATTCCTAGACCCTGTTCGTCGTTAGAAGCTGGACATGGACTTCACAATTTCACCTATGACAAAAGCATACCATTTGACCAGCACCAACGACACCAAGCTTCTTCACTTCGAAGCCCAATGAGGGCGTGGAAGAGAATTGGCGGTTGAGCGAGGCGAGCCTCTGCGAGGCAACTTGCGACTTTGAAGGAGCCATCAGTCGGGAGGAAAATCTCGACAACGAAGCCATTGGGGAGAAGCTGTTGGCAGTTCACCTATGCGAGTTGAGGAATCTCTCGACTCGAATGCGCCCGCTTGTGCTTCAAAAGGTCTGGAAACGCCGGGATTTCTCCTTGAAGCGCCCGCCAAGGCTCCCACTCGCCCTTATCGAAAACCGAGGCTCACCGATAAGAGGCGAAACGTGCACTATGGGGGGCTGCATGGTCCGCCCGAATGCCTTAACGCGTCCTGAGCACGCGTCGCTGCGCGTGTCTTTCCAACACCTGCCTCTTCGCTGTCGTCAACTTCCTGATTTCTCGACAATGACGGTAATGACTAGACGATATGGACTATATCGACGACAGCAATCCTTTCACCAAGGCCCAGACCGTTCATCCTGAAGTTCGGGCCTATGTTTACAGTCTGGTCAACGCAGTATGTGTCTCTTCGCCCCTGGTTAACACTGAATATTCTAACGTACGCTAGCTTGGTGGGAGTAGTACAGACGACGATGGCCGCTACGTCCTCGGTGACGACGCGCTTGCCTGTCTTCGGGATCTCAAGCGGTGGCTGAAGCTGTACGACGAGAAGAACAACCGCCTCGATGTCGCGAGATGTCTAGCAGAAGCCAAGCTTGTCGGGGGAGACCTGATACCCATTCTCGCCTCGTGGCCCGAAGACGGCAAGGAGAACAAGCTGAAGGCTCGCGTTGCGCTGGCATGCTTGGAAGTACTGGTGCCGTTAACATGGCCACTGGAGACTACAGGAGAAATGACCGTTAACCATCACCGACACACGCCATACATTCAGCAAGCACAAGTCGTATACAAGGCCGCCGTCCTGGGCTGCGACACTAGCAATATCCTCCGCCAGGTAGTGCGCATTGGCTTACCCTCGATAGCCGTGGCCAGAGATGAGAGAACGAGCCGAGACGAAGGTATCCTCAAGCTTATGCTCTACTTCTTTCGAAACATCGCCGTGATTCAGCAGATTCCCAATTTACCGAGCCAGGGCTTGGATTCAGAAGTCTCCCGATCGGCGACCATAGAGGCGTTCAGAGACCAAGATGTTTTTGCTCTGCTTCTGACCATCTGCTCAAATATGGGAGACGATTTCAACTTGCAGGATGTTATTGTGTTGGACATACTCTTCAACTTGATCAAAGGTGTCGACCCGCGAAGACTGTGGATGACACAGCAAGAGAGGAAGAGTCAGGGCATCACGGACCTGGGGGCCGCTCTCGCTGTGGAGGAGAGCAAGAATCGAGACGCGAAGAAGCATCAGTGGAGCAGACATGGACGCTTCGGAACCATGATATGGGTAAAACGAGAGGGAGAAAAGATGTCGGCCGTCTCGGGCCAGGACAATCTCCGAAACGATCAGCAGGCGCTGTTGAACATGGACAAGTCCAAGAAATGGAATAAGCCTCAACAGAAACGCAGAGATATCGACCACACAATCCACGATTTCGATCGCACTACTCATCTCACTGACTCGGCGGCCGAGAAGCTACGAAACTTCGTCGAGGAGTTCCTCGATTCTGGATTTAATCCATTCTTTACACATCTGCGCAAAGCCATTGAGCGAGAGGCAGAACGGCTGGTCGATGTCAACTATCGCCAGTTTTTCTATGCAGTGGCATGGTTTCTCGAAGCCGAGCGTATCCGACGAGAGACGCAGAAGAAGGAGGTCAAGCCAGACAAAGTGCGAGACGACTTTACCGATGAGAGCTATTCGATTGTTGCCGCTGTTCTCAATCAAGAAACTTTCATCATGCTGAATCGATTCATGCAAGTGTCCTTGGACAACAAAGAGTGGCAAGACTTGAATGCCTGCATGCGATGCTTCACTCAGGTTTTGCTTACGGTACAAGAGATGACACAGAGCCCGTTGGAAGAGGATCAAGAAATCGCGGACAACATCCAAAACCGAATCTTTTACGAGGAAACGACGCATGATCGAGTCGTGGAGATCCTGAAAGGCTACAAGGATCAGGGCTTTGGCTATCTCGACGCTTGCACGGAGCTCTCGCACGTCTTTTTACGCATGCTGGAGAGATATTCGAAGGAGAACGTCGACCTGCAGATACGGTCTCGTCGCAGGGCGAAGAAGAAGCGTCAGGAAGAGAGGAGAAAACTTGCTCAACCCGGTGACGATCCTGCTGCGGATGACGAGGTGTCTGAGAATGAAGACATCGCCGACGTGGTTCAAGTCTCCAAGGAACGAAAGTTCGATTTCAATCGATTCGCGGCAAAGTTCTCGACACAAAACTCTGTCAACACCTTTGTCTCTCTTACAACCTTATACCGAGATCTCAGCGTTGAACAACTCAAACGTGCCCATCGATTCTTCTATCGAGTCGCGTTTAAGCAGGACTTGGCTGTCCTCCTTTATCGTATCGACATCATCGCCCTTTTCAACAAGATGATCAACGGACCGGATGGCCTCGACAGGAGACATGCAATGTACAGAGAATGGTCGGAATTTTCCAGACAAGTGTTCAAGAAGATGTTCAAGAAGATCGATCAGCGACCCGAGCTGATAGTGGAAATGCTATTCAGTAAAATCAACTCGACACTGTACTATCTCGAATACGGTCAGGAGAAACAGACAATCGCAACCACTCGTGCGCCTGCAGAACTAGAAATCAGGCCGGCGCCCGGAAGAGATATCAAGGAACAGATCGGGATTGTCGTCACAGTCCTGCTGAAAGACGGCAAGGCAGATCTTGTGCGATGGGTCAAGACGACACTGGGAAACGCTTTTGATGAACGACATGCCTGGGAAGCCGAAGCCGAAGCACGGAGACTGGGAATTACCGAGGCCGCACAAAGGGATGGAGAGGAACCCCCGGAAAACGTTGATGTCGGGGAACCATCGTACATAACTGTGCACGCTTCCTCGGAGGACATCAAGATGGCAATGTTCAAGAACGGAAGACTCAAGTTGCTGATGCGTTTGGTTGGCTTTGAAATGCTCGGAGATGAAGACGTGCTTGGAACGACGTGGATCATCCCAGGACAAGTATCCGCTGGACAGCTTTCAGATCACAAGGCGGCAGTCGAACAGTACGAACAGACGCCGTGGCAAGGGGAAGACGAGAATGAAGACGCCGAAGACATGATCCGTCGTGCAAGGAACAAAGAGAAGCCAGACCGAGATGATGGGGACGAAGCGCCACGCGACGCATTCATTGACGACTCTGAAGGTGAAGAGGACTTTCTGTTCCCGGACAATCCGCGCAAGAAGAAATCCAAGGACGCCATTGCCGAACTCCGGGCGAAGCGCAAAAGGAAGCGAGGCGAAGATGACGATGGAGAGGATGACATTGACGAGGAACTTGCGGCCCAAAGAAGAGCCGCACGAAAAGCAGCTGCATTGGACAGGCGACGCAAAATCAAGAGTGAAGCTTACATCAGGGACAGTGACGATGAATCCGATGCAGAGAAGGACCGGCTCTTCTTCGAGAGGGAGGAGCAGATGCGAACGAAGTATGCGGAAAAGATTCGCAATGAGCTTCAAAACCAGACCAGCCTGGGTATCAGTGAGCAGCGACCGAAAGCAACCAAGAGAGCCAAGAAGCAGCATGCTGCTCAGACAGAGGAAGAGCGAGAGAGTGACGACGATCTGCTTATGACTGACACCGATGACCACCATACCGAGCCAGCGTCATCGCAGCAGCGGCGGGTGTGGGATAGTGAGGATGAGGAAGAGGACGATGGCGATACTCCAATGTCCTCACAAAGCGCACAAGCGAATATTGAAGCAGGTGACGGACACACTAAGCTCCGCGAGCTTGACCAGCCACGCGCCGCTGTCGAAATCGGCAGCAAAACATTCCAAGCGGAGGTGGAATTGAGTGATGACGATGAAGAGATAATACCGACAGCGAGACGACGGCCTATGGTTCGGGGAGGGTTTGTTGTGGATAGCGACGACGATGAGTGACAGCGAAGACCGTGGTGGTAACTCATACAAGAAGAGGCACCCCCGTTATTAATTCAATCGTTAAACTCGACCTCTGTGTCTTTTTTTTGTATCCTCCATCCATGAAGATGTACTCGGTAAATGGGATGATATCGTGGTTGGCTGACCAGGGTGCCAGGGTGCCAGGTTACACATGCCAATTGTAGCACATGTCGGGATGCGCCGACGGCCACTGAGCGACATCAACACGACGCCGATTGGCTGCCCACCCTCGTCTTCTCTGAACCACTTGTGGCCACTCTTTTTTCTTGCTTGCTTCTCCGTCTCTTCGTATTCCTGATAAGGCCTCTTGCTCAATGCCACGGTGAAAGAGCGCCAGGGTGATTTGTTTTCGTTGCTGTTTGCATCTTTTTTTCCCCCTCCTCTATTTAGATGCCGCCACATTCCTTGGAAGAATAGACTCTTTCTCGTCCCCGGACTAGATACTCGCAAATAGACCAGCAAAGATGACCCAGCAACGCATTTATTTTGGCCGCTTCATCTCCACCCCGAAGCCTGATGAGCTGCTGATACGGACGGGCGCCGTGCTGGTGGACCGGAAAGACGGCAGAGGCGTGATTGAAAAGGCGGACTGGACTGTGAACGGGCCAAATGACGCGATTAGCAAGTTCGGCGTCGAGGCGCCCGTGGTCACTGCTGGGGATGATGGATTCTTCTTTCCTGGTTTTATTGGTAGGTCACGATTTGGACGACACACCTTTGCTGGTCCAGCATCTGTGCTGATTTGGCGACAAACACAACGAGCGAAGAATTGTTCGCGGAACAAGGCTGACCATAGCGCTACACACAGATACCCATATACACGCTTCGCAATATCCCAACATCGGCATATTCGGAAAGTCGACTCTCCTGGATTGGTTGACCACATACACGTTCCCGCTGGAATCCTCGCTCGGCACCGACAAATCTCCCATGTACAAAGATTCCATTGAGCCACCCGATCCCCTCGCTCGCGCCAAAGCTGTCTACAACCGGGTGGTCTCCAAGACTCTCTCTCTCGGGACGACAACCGCGTCATACTATGCCACAATTCACGTCGAGGCGACGAATCTTCTTGCCGACATTACGTTCAAGAAGGGTCAAAGGGCGTATATTGGGCGAGTGTGCATGGATCGACCCGAGACGTGTCCGGACTATTACAGAGACGAGAGCACCGAGCAGACGATAGCAAACACGAAAGCCAGCATCGAATATTGCAGATCCCTTGACCCCTCAGGAGAGCTCGTGGCTCACATCATCACTCCGAGGTTTGCCCCTAGCTGTCTGCCCGAAACACTATCCCAACTAGGCACATTAGCCAAGGAAGAAGATCTCAGGGTGCAGACGCACATCTCAGAGAACCTGAACGAAGTGAAATGGGTCCAGGAGTTGTTTCCCGACCAGTCGAGTTACGCAGGGGTCTATGACCATCATGGCTTGCTGACACCACGAACGATCCTGGCGCACGCAGTACACCTCAGCCAGGAAGAGATGCAACTGGTCAGGCAGAGGAAAACCAAGATCAGTCACTGTCCCGCGAGCAATAGTGCACTGGGGAGTGGATTGTGCCCGGTGCGGGCGTTGCTGGATGAAGGGATCGAAGTGGGCTTGGGCACAGATATCAGCGGTGGGTATAGCCCCAGCATACTTGATGCGGTGCGGAACGCTTGCATTGTGAGCCGACACGTGGGATTCTTGAATGGTGGTGACAGCAAGTACAACCTCAGCGTGGCAGAAGGACTGTGGTTGGCCACAATGGGTGGCGCCAAAGTAGTAGGGATGGAAGGGAGGCTGGGTGGCTTCGACGAGGGCATGCTCTGGGATGTACAGGAGATTGTGATGGGGGATGTTGATGCTAGTGGAGGCGGGGTCGACACAGGGGTGGACATCTTTGGCTGGGAATCTTGGGAGGATCGAGTCGCCAAATGGGTGTGGAATGGCGACGAGAGGAATATCAAACGAGTCTGGGTGGGAGGGAGGTTGGTACACGAGAGGGGATGATGGAGTGAGGAACGGAAGAATGCTTCTCCCAGGGATATCGAGCGGACATTCAGATCACAGCATACGGTGTACTTATTCTGATTAGCGTGTAGGACGACACATTTCGTCGTATGACATCCTCTTATACCATATATATCCCCATATATCTGTGAGTGACCTGTATACCGTTGCTTATGTAACGGGTATGAGTCCTCACGTGACCAGTCCTCTGGATACGATTTCCACCCGAATTCCATCCCTGCGCCAACCCACCATGCGGTCCATCCCACCCCCATCGTCACCCAGTTCCTCACAAGTCGAATCGCCAACGGGCAGCCAAAAGCTTGAAACCCTCGTAACCCTCGTTTCCATTTCACGTGCGTTTTTATTCAATCAACAATGGTCGTTGATCCCTTTTCTTACCACCCATCTTGTTCTCGTCACCCTCACTTTTTTTCCCGGTCCCAGTCCGCAATGCAAGAGGACTGCCTCCACTCGCCCGGCAAGTAGCTCCAGCAGCAATGTGTGCTCCTCGTGACGTGCTCAGTGGCTGGCCTCGGATCGCTCAGTCTCACCCTTGAGCTCCTCTAGCCTAGCCTCCCACTTGCAGAAAACCCCCACGAGCCTCAAGTCGTCCTTGTGCTCGGGGTCGCCATCATGAATGCCTCCGCTGCGAGTTCACAACCTCCGGTGGGACATGGACAAACCTCGCCTGGAAGGGGTTTTGGTGCTGCACTCGTCTCCCTCGTGACTTTTCTCCCTCATGCGTTGTTATGGATCATAGGATTCTGTACAATCACACTGCCGACATGGTTGTTCACTCTGTTTTCGATGAGTTTGACCTTTACCATGAATTTCACCACCCTGTGAGTGATCTCCCCCCTCACTTGTTTCACTGTGGCGTCTACTAACAGCTGGCAGACTCGTCATTTTCGTCGCAATATTCTCGACCGTCAGTTGGTTCATCCGCTACCGTTTCCTCAATTATTATACACACCTGCCTCAAGAGCCGCAGCGAAAAGAGCCCCAGCTCGATTTGTTTCCAGACACGCAAGATGGGGACTCGAAGCCGGGCTTGGCCAACTACCTCGACGAATTCCTGAGCGCGATCAAGGTGTTTGGATACCTGGAGAGGCCGATCTTTCACGAGTTGACGCGAACGATGCAGACTAGGAAGCTCATTGCGGGGGAGACATTGCTGCTCGAGGAAGAGAAAGGGTTTTGTCTGGTGGTGGATGGGTTGGTCCAGATATTTGTCAAGTCGTTGAGAGACACACCCGAAGGCACCAGCACTGGTCAAATTGACTTGTTCGACGAAGACGAAGGATATCGGGAAGGCAACCAGGGCTATCAGTTATTGACCGAAGTTAAAAATGGTGCCTCAATGTCCTCTCTATTCTCCATCTTGTCCTTGTTCACCGAAGATGTCAAGCTGCGCCATGACGATCAGATTCCCAATGGTACACGATTTACCAACCATGTCACCCGCACGCCCGATTCCAACGTTGCCAGCCCAACCATGGATCCGCCCACGCCAGGGTCGGCCGTCGCTGGCGCTCTCAGCGAGACGCAGAAAGCGAGGCTGCCCAGTGTTCCACCTTTGACACTTGGATCTGCCTTTGATGAACACCACTATAAGACCAAGCAAGCCAGACCCAAGTCCTCGGTCTCTGCGCACCCTGATATTGTGGCGAGGGCGGTGGTTGACACCACAATAGCCATCATCCCAGCGAGCGCATTTCGACGCCTGACTAGAGTGTACCCCAAAGCCACTGCCCACATAGTTCAGGTGATACTGACAAGGCTGCACCGAGTGACGCTGTCGACCGCACACCAGTATCTCGGGCTGACCTCGGAGGTCCTGCAGATCGAGAAGCTGATGAATAAATACACCAGTTATGATCTGCCCAACCATATCCGCGGCCACGCCCTTGACCGGTTGCGGGACAAATTTGCAAAGGAACGAGAGAGGATTGGGCCCGAAGAAGGGATGAAGGGGATCGCATTGCACAACCCGACGGCAGGTCGGCGCCGGTCTTCCAGTGGACTTCGCAGAGAAGCAGCCACAATCGCCCGGCTCAATGCAGCAAAGGGTGCCGCCTCTTCTTCAGCACCCAACTCTGTGCGGCCGGGAATCGGAGACAGAAATGTCAGCTCGGGCGATCTGCATGGCGCATCGAGGCCAAGTCAGAGACCTACTAGCCTCCACCTCCGCTCCACCTCGAACTGGACGAGTATGGGAGCCCCTGACGGCCTCAGATTGGATATGAGCCCGATGGGGAACCGCGAACAACCGCCATTTCGCCAGACTTCGTTCCACAGCGACATGCCCCATCGACAGGATTCCGTTCATGAAGACAGTTTGTTTCGTGAGTCCGTGCTGGAATGCATGGCCAAGGCTCTCGGATTGAGCGAGTCAGTGACCCAGGCCTTGAAAGGAGGTCCGGTCTCGGTCGAACAGTCTCCACGGCTTGTCTCGTATGATGCGAAACGCCAGACGGCCATTTTCAACAACGCTTTTGGCTTCATTGACCCTTATGAAGGCTCAGCGGATGGCGAGTCCGAGTCCATAACGGCTTCGGCAGCCAGTGTCGGTGGTTCGCTGAACAACCGAACCTTGAGTGAAGAATTGATGGACGATGTCGAGATTGTGTTTTTCCCCAAGGGCTCTGTTTTGGTCGAACAAGGCGAACGCAACCCAGGTCTCTACTATGTTATCGACGGGTTCTTGGACGTCAGCATCCCCATTGAAGAGAAAGAAGAAAGACAAGAATCGGTCGATCGCCACCGATCGCGCAGAGGCTCCCGCGACGAGACATTTCCACGGCTGCGAAGAACTAGAACCTCCACTTCCCGGACTCAGTCGACCGCTGGCTTTCCCGGACAGCCCAAGGAGAACAAAAGAATGGTGCAAGAGACATTATTTCTGGTAAAACCTGGCGGCATTGCTGGCTATGTTGGGACATTGTCGTCCTACAGATCGTTTACGGACGTGACCGCGAAAACAGATGTCTATGTCGGTTTCCTGCCTCGGTCTGCGTTGGAAAGGGTCGCCGAGAAGTATCCCATTGTCCTCCTGACGATGGCGAAACGGCTCACCAGTCTTCTTCCCAGGCTGATCTTACACATTGATTTTGCTCTCGAGTGGGTACAAGTCAATGCTGGCCAGGTCATCCATCATCAGGGCGACGACAGCGATGCCATCTACATTGTCCTCAACGGGCGACTGAGGGCAGTGCGCGAGCTTGAGGGTGGAACGATGCGGGTGACCGGCGAATACGGTCAAGGCGAGAGCATCGGCGAATTGGAAGTTATGACGGATGGTACCAGGCCCGCAACCCTGCACGCTATACGTGATACGGAGCTGGCAAAGTTCCCCAGGAGCCTGTTTAACAGTCTGGCCCAGGAGCATCCCAATATCACCATCCAAATTTCCAAGTTGATCGCACAGCGCATGCGAGCGCTTATCGAAGCCCCGTTGACAGAAAAGGGCCAAGAGAGAAAGAGGGCCGCGCTGAGTGACTCGAGCACATCGACCCTGAATCTCCGAACGATCGCAGTGTTACCAGTTACCGCCGGTGTCCCAGTCGTTGAATTCGGCAATCGTTTACTGGCAGCCTTGAGCCAGACCGGAGTGCCAAGTGGCGTTACTCTGCTGAACCAAGCCATCATTCTGAGCCATCTCGGTCGACATGCCTTTAACCGAATGGGTCGCCTGAAGTTGTCGCAGTACCTCGCCGACCTCGAAGAGAAATACGGCATGGTGCTCTACATTGCAGATACCAGTGTGAATGCGCCTTGGACCCAGACTTGTATCTCCCAAGCAGACTGTATCCTGCTGGTTGGCTTGGCCGAGAGCTCGCCGAACATTGGTGAGTACGAGCGATTCCTTCTGGGAATGAAGACAACTGCTCGGAAGGACCTTGTGCTGCTCCACGTCGACCGATACTCACAGCCGGGCTTGACCAGGAGATGGATGAGCAACCGCATGTGGATCAACGGTGGTCATCATCACATCCAGATGGCATTTCGTGTGAGCCCGGAGGCCACGCCTCACTCTCCTCCGAGAAGGTTCGGCTCGGCGATCAAGCAAAGCGTTCAGGTCATTCAAGCAGAGATACAGAAATACACCTCGCGTAGAGTTCGCCACGCTCCGCTGTACTCTGCCGACACCCCTTTCAAAGGCGACCTGCATCGACTTGCGAGACGACTCTGTGGCAAATCTGTTGGGCTGGTGCTCGGTGGAGGAGGTGCGCGTGGTATTTCCCACATCGGGGTCATCCAGGCTCTGGAAGAGGCCGGCATCCCGATTGACATTGTTGGGGGGACTTCGATCGGTGCATTTTTGGGGGCGCTCTATGCCCGCGACGCCGACGTGGTGCCAATGTACGGACGTGCAAAGAAGTTTGCCGGACGGATGGGCAGTATGTGGCGATTTGCGCTCGACTTGACCTACCCTTCGGCGTCATACACGACGGGCCACGAGTTTAACCGGGGCATATTCAAGGCATTCGGGGACTCGCAGATTGAAGACTTTTGGCTGCCATTCTACTGCAACACGACCAACATTAGCAAATCGCGAGCCGAGATCCACACTTCGGGATATGCGTGGAGGTATGTCCGGGCCAGCATGTCCCTCGCTGGGTTGATCCCGCCGATATGCGATGAGGGCAGCATGCTCCTTGACGGCGGATACATCGACAACCTCACTGTCCAACACATGAAGTCTCTGGGGACCGATCTTGTATTCGCAGTCGACGTTGGTGCCGTGGACGACGACACTCCGCAACAGTACGGCGACACGCTCTCGGGGTTTTGGTCGTTGCTCAACCGCTGGAACCCATTCTCGTCGATTCCCAATCCACCCACCCTGTCCGACATCCAAGCTCGGCTCGCGTACGTCTCCTCGGTTGACGCACTGGAGCGGGCCAAAGCAACCCCGGGCTGCATATACATGCGGCCGCCGATCGAAGCGTACGGGACGTTGGAGTTTGCCAAGTTCGACGAGATCTACGAGGTCGGGTACAGTTACGCCAAGGAGTTTCTCGCCAGGTTGCGCAACGAGGGCCAGTTGAACGGCATCATCGACGCGTGGGTCGACGCGGGCGATGAGGAGGGCAAGAAGTTGTTGAGGGCTATGGCGCCGCGGCGCGCGAGTATTTGAGTTGGCGGCAGGAGACGGTGGTCCTCGTCGTCCTCGTCGTTGGGTTCTGCAAAACTAGGTCAAGGTTGTCTTGCATGGCCCAGGAGTAAGTTTGCTGGTGCTGGTGATGATAAAAGTACGTAAGGATATATACAGGTCCAAACAGAGACCACATACACCACCGAAAAGAATAATCAAGGTCGCGTTCTATGCTGCTCGCTCTCTCCTCCCTTGTTACCTACACTATTGAGAATGGCCTAAGATTAGATGTGGACGTGGATACGGATATTGATACTGAGATAGATAAGAATATGCTATACGAATGATACTTGGGTTGGAAGATTCTCGGCCTTTGAGGAGGGAAGGAAGGAAGATAGAGCTCTCTCTCTCCCTGTGCATCTCTGTGCATCTCTGTACACCCCCCTCATCTCCCTTTCTTATCTTAGTAATCTCACCGAATCTTTGGCGAAATCAGAATCTTGATCTGATCGTCCCGGTTGTTGACCAGTTCCTCGAACCCCTTGGGTCCCGTGTCCTCGAGGGCGATGCGGCTGGTGACCATTTTCTCGTAGCCTTGAAAGGAGCCTGCCGGTAGGTACTCGAGTCAGTGACACTTCTGCCGCAGGCCCAGGGGGGGGGGGAGAGATGTATGTATGCATGTATAGATAGATGGGAGGTTGTGATGATCCATTTTCATGTGGAGAGTGAGTGCATCATGTGTCATGTGTTTTATGTGTAGATGTGTAGATGTGTCAATGTAAAAGGTTCGAGGTAAGGAAGACTTGCCTTTGGCCATCAACTCCATGACCTCCTTGAAATCCTGCTCGTTGTAGCAGCACGAGCTCATGAACTTGACCTCCTTGAAGAAGAAGGGCAGGAATTGGATTTGGATCTTTGACACACCGAACCAGTTAGTTATTGCGTTTGATCAGTAAACTCTTCTCTCTCTCTCTCTCTCTCTTCCTCTCTCCCTCCGTTCCGCGGAGTCTGGACAAAAAGGGAAACATTTCTTTCTGATACACCCCATATATGTTGTGTGTATGGATAGAAATATACGAGGGAATATGCTGGGAGAGGTCGAAAGAAAGAGAAACTCACCGGTTTCTCCCACACAGCGACATTGACAAACGTCCCGCCCGACCTCAAGGCGTCGAACCCGGCCTCCAGCGCGGGCTGCACGCCCGCACAGTCAAAGACGACGTCGACGCCCTTGCCGCCCGTCAGTTCGCGACAGACGTCGCCGACCTTTTCGGAGCGCGGGTCGACGACCCGGTCGACGACGTCCTTGGCCTGCTCCTTCCGCTTGGCCGTGGGCTCGCTCAGCACGATCTTGTTGACGCGGTGGGCGCGCAGCACGGACATGAGGGCCGCGCCGACGGGGCCGCCGCCGAGGATCAGGACGTTCAACCCGGCCAGGTCCAGGCCCGACGCCTTGGCCGCGTGGTGGCACACGACCAGCGGCTCGATGACGGCCGCGTACTCGAGGCTCACGTTGTCCGGCAGCGGGAGGCAGTGCGCCTCCTCGACCGTGGCGTACTCGGACAGCCCGCCGCCCTTGCCGCTGCTGCCGCCGATGAAACCCAGTTTGTGGCAGATGTGGTCGTCGCCCGCCGTGCAGCTCGTGCACGTCCGGCAGATGCAGTGCGGGTCGACCATGACGGCCTGCCCGACCTGGAGCTTGGAGCCCGGGGGCACGGATTTTAAGCGCCCGCAGAACTCGTGGCCGAAGATGATGGGGCGCGGTTCGCCCGTGGTCGGGTCGACGGTGCGCATCAGCACGGGTCCTGCGATTGGATTCGTGTTTAGTAGGTAGGTAGAGAGATATGGTTCGCAGGGGAGTGTCATTGTTGTTGTTGTCATTATCATCGTCGTCGTCACCACCACCACCACCACCACCACCACCACCACCTCTTCCTCTTCCATTCAAAAACACCTCCCAACAACACAAAGACTCAGTCCACAAACTTACCGGCAGCATACTCGTGCAAATCACTCCCACAGATTCCACACCATTCCACCTCGACGAGGCATTCTCCCGGCCCCGGTTCGGGGATGGGGACCTCTTCGACGCGAATGTCCCTGTTGCCGTAGAACCGGGCTGCTCTCATGGACGACATTTCTGTAGGTTCTGTGTCCGACGTCCAAAAAGGGTGGTTATATCTCTGAGGAGATTTCCCGCGGTGTGTGTGTGGCTCTGCTTTTCTTCCTCAGGGAGAGGGGGGGGGGATGATGGTGGGGGTGGTTTTACGACTCGTAAAAAACGAGATTTTGAATCAAGAGGCACAGAAGAAGCGAAAGGGGAAGGGGTTAGGATAGAATATAATAATAGTTTTAATCGGGTAGGGCAGATGAACGACGGCGACGAGGAGGATGGATGGATGGATGGATGGATGGATGACCAAACTATTATAACACGCCCTGACAGTCAGCCACGGTACATTACCTGATAGGTATGTAAGAAGATCACATATAGATATCCTGTGCACAGACTGACAGAGAGAGTCAAGCCGATCAAAACTATTCGTTACCTCGGATAAAACCCACCTTCTGCCGCTGCTGCCCTTTTTTTTTCTCTTTCTCCTCACTCTTGGGTTGGTTTAGTAACAAAACAAAACATGTGACGAGGTTGACGAGAATCGACTTTGTAAGTCCCCGAGCCGACCGGATAGAGGAGTCGCGACGAGTTAGAGGTCACCGACTAAGGGAGTGACGAGTACATGGACATGGACTTTTGTCGAATTGCCGAGTACGAGCCAAATAGCGTAGAACCCCAGGAACGCGTGTGGGGGGAAAAGAGGAGAGAGGAGACAAGAGTGGGAGAAAAGGAAATGGGCGGAGAAAAGAAAAAGAGAAGGGAAAAACAAATGCGGGTAAGGAACTCCGATTGAAGGGGATGCGTGCATGACACTTTGGGTGAACGGCAGGTAGGTCTCTTCGTCGATGTCGTTTCGTCTTCTTTCACATGGCTGAACTCGTCACCCGCATGTGTCCATCTCCCTCGTCGCAAGACACTGACTGTGGTTAAAACATAAGTAACAACAAAAGACCCGATGAGGGGAAGAAAATGAAGAAGAGCCAAGCCGACTGAAACAAAGACAACAAACTGGCCAAACTGACACGAGATGGACGGCGGTATGGATTTCAAAACTCGAACAACCTAGCCTGATTGCGCATGGCGAATTATGCATTCATGGGGATATCAATAAAATTTCAAACACCAAACATGAGCCCCCCTTGAAAGCCAGCTCGACCCTCCCCCCACCCCCTCCGCATAACGATTTCCCCTGATGCCGCTTCACAATCATGCAACAACTCCATTGATTCATTTCGACTCCGAGTTTGAGGTGGTGAGGTGGTGAGGTAGTGAAACAAGGTGAGCCTGTGTAGGTACGAGGTGTACCCCGTTATTATAGGAGAGCGGCGATACCGGCGGCGACAATGGCAACTGCAAGTCCGTTGGCCACGACCTGAGGCTGAGCTGCATTGGTCGCTGTAGTCGTCTTGGAGGCAACCGAGGCATCGGCCGTGTTGGTTGATGTCGAACTCTCACTGTCAAGGAACTCGGCGCCGCCGTCGCCCGAGCACGTGTCCCCAACAGGGCAACATCCGTACACGTCGTTGTCGCCCTTCTGGCAAACCGACTTGGACGAGCAACCACCTTCGAGATCAGGACAGCAGGTGTAGTCGCTTGGGATGCAGAAGGCGCCGCAGACCTTGTCGCCCGATTCACACGACGTCGCGTTTCCCGTGGCTCGGGTCAAGAGAGTGTGTTCTGACCATGCAGAAGTCAAGAGGGGGAGGGCCCCCACAACCACCAAAAGGAGAGAGCGCATCGTGGTGGCGTTGGTGATGGGAATAATTTGTTATTGTGTGGAAATGAATTCGCAAGCTTTCGTCTGAGCTATGGAGCTGGACGTTGTCACCGAAGAAGTGGGAAAGTGTAGAAGATGAAAAGAGAGGACGCTGAGGTGCAATGGGTGAAGAGCGACTCAGAACGAATGGGCCAACTCAAAAGGTTGATGAAGAATGTTAACAACAGAAGCTGTTCAAGAAGGGAACGGCTAGGAAGCTGGGAAGTACATAAAACTGTTCATCAAAAAGTGGCTGACGATGCGGATATGTACAAGTTACTCAGACTGGGGGAGCCAAGCTCGCAACTTCAGATCCAGCCCGTCAAGAGGCTGGCAATCCTGGTAATAATAGGTAATAGGTAAGGCGCACTACTTTGATATCGTCAGTCCACTGAATCCTGACAAGCTCAATAGTGAGAGAGGGCGACAGCAAAGCAAAGAGGCGCCGGTGAGTCAAGCGTTCATGCCAAGTTACCTAGACCTCTGGTCCCGTCTGCGTGAAAACCTGCGCGAGATGAACTTGTTCCAAGACACAAGGTGAAATTGCGCGGTCTAGAGGCTCACGAGGCAAATGTCACGGCGCGTTTCAAAGTCAGGCTGGGCGGCGCTGGGGGAAGACAAGGCGGGACCAATAAAGATGAGGGTTTGTACAACTTGTCTGTGGCTGCTGAGAGGTTGGAGAGCAAGATCGCAACCCAAGAGATCGAGTGGCGCATCATCTCCCAATGCCATGCTCCAGATTTGGGATCTGGAAGAGGCAAGTATTGAACATTATTTGGGGCACAGCGTGGCAGTATCGCAATAGTGAAGCGTCAATAATTTGGAGGGCGAAGCACGAGGGAAAACAAACCAGAAGAAATAAGAAAAAGTGGATGAGTGCCAAGCCTCGAAGGCCCAGCGCATAATTGGACTAGTGGCTCGGCATTCAGGGGCTGGTGCTCCACCACGCAAATCATCACTTCACTGGTCACCTGACCAATCATTCACAAACATTGCCACGCAGAGCAGGCAGAGGTAGATTTCGGGTGAGCCTGACATGTTGAAAGAGCACGTCACTTTCCACAGGGCATACCGCTCAACTGCTGGCGGTCAAAGAATCTTATAACTACATACGAGTACTCGGTATACATATTAATCACAACTACCACAGGCTCCATCATCGACCCTAGCCGATGTCTCTAAGAACAGTAAGACACGCGGATTACAACCTAGCTCCAAGATGTCTTCAAGGAACCGCGTGACGCTCAGCACAGGGAGCATGAAGCTATCAAACCAACGGCTGCTCCCCTCACACTGACGACTCCCCCAGATCTGTCATCTCAACATCAACAAAATCAAATACCTAGCACCTGGTGCCAATGAAACGAAACGGTTTGTCTGTCGGTATGCCGTATATCTCTCAACATTACCAAAACGTCTTGTTTGTGGCAATTTACACTTTAGAGGTGTTGATATCGCAACACAATAATCTCTGCGAGAAACCACACCGAATCTACGTCTATACGGACAGTAGTGAAATGACTGGATATATCGGCGCCGCGGCGGTGATTCCAACATACCCAACCTCAACCTCAAGTCCGGTACCTCTACAAGGAGATACACGGTGCTTAAAGTACCGTGTTTGCGGCTGAACCAAAGAACTCCTGCGAAGTTGTGGGGGTGGTGAAGGAAACAAGCACATTCAGAGCATTTACCAGCGCAAATGACAGAGTGTAACTCTGATACAAATCCCTAGACGCTGTGAGGCTAACAGGTAGGTGCCGCTAGGTACAAGAGAGGTGTGTGTGTGTGTGTCGGGAAAGAGGATGGTCTCTGACTGAGGAATATATGTATTTGTAGCATGCCCCAGCAACGGCTGGGGTCACACCGCACTTTGAGACTACATATATTCAGCGAAAGCAATATTTCGGGTTGAATATCATTGCTCTCTCGGCCAAAAAAAAAAACATATTTCACGTGTTCCAACCACCATGGTTGTAGTAAACTCCTACCCTGGCCACCCCTCAAAGCGAAATGTCAACCCCTGGTGAACGCCGTCTTCAGTGAAGATGCGGCACCGCACAACCTCATACCTGTCCGTCTCGTAAAACCTCAGCGCGTCCTCCTGATCTTGAGAGCGAACGAGAAACGCGCTCCCAAACAGCTTTGCCGATCCTGGTGCATCCACTAGCGCCCTGTATTTGCCCCAGTGTCGAACTTCACCATCTTGGATAGAGGCCGGCACAAGAGAGGGTTCGGTGTCCAAGTTGAGGTGGTGTTTTAGCACTTTTGGGTCAGCCAGTGTGCCGTAGAAGAAATACAACACTGGGTATTCGTCCTGTGATGGTCGAGGGATGTCCTGTTCGTCGTCCAGCCGGTTTTGAGGCAATGTCGAGTCATGTGCGAGAGTTGGTGCAATGCTCCGCGAGCATAGATCCTTCTTGGCCTTTGTCAAACGCACAATAGTGGGCTGGAAGCCGCTGTGGTACTCTGCGACCCAGTCTAGCAGCTTCGCCCGAGTCCCGCCGTCGATCTGGCAGAAATTCGCTTGGCCATGCTCGCCTACTCCTGTCACGATCAACGGAGCCTCCGCCAAGCCAGCAACATCCTTGATCTTTTCCGGCGAGTCCAAAGGCTCCATCAATTGCACGATGAAAGTGCCTGACACCGTTGCCGAGGATGTTGGGCTGAGTGCTTGTGGTTGATTCTTGAGGGAATACTCGTATGCTTCTCGATCATACCCCTCCGCCTCCTTTCGAGCCTTGACTGTAGCCCAGAGTTCATCGGAGATCCTGACCCTGGAATAGGCACTCCGGTATTCTTCGATTCGGCGACGGGCGTCTGCCTTCTCAAATCCAAACAACCGTTGCCATCGTGCAACATCGGCCTCCCAGAGTCCCATCACCTTCTTCTTGGACGTCCAAGATATTGAGAGCCATGCTCTCGAGTTCCGCAAGAAGTTCCATGTTTCCTCAGGTAGTCACCGTCGACAGTGATGATGATAAAAGTGCTTTGTAGACCTCGGCAGTCTCTAACAAATCTTGATGTGTACGAATATCATTTCACAACGAGGGACTGAGCAAGACTTTTATACTATTCAGGGCGCTCATGTCGTACCAGAAAATTGAGGTGAGGAGGACCTGCAGTGTGAGTTCCGATGGACGGGAGACGGTTGGTGAAGGTGAGCCACCCACAAAAGGTCCTCATGGCGAAACCCTGAGGATTGTTTTACATGTGGCCTCCGATATTGAGTACTGCACTACACCGGTCAACTAATCTCAGATACCAGTGATTCTACCAGCTACATTTGAGGTAGCGCGCGTTTCTCGAATCGAGCTGTGAAGAGAGTAGATAATGAGAGGAGTATCGACGTGCCAGGGTATACTTTGGAGGTACCTGCAGGTAATATTACTACTAGGCTTCCACTAGGTACAAAAAAGTCGAACGTAGTTAGCTTGAGGCCCTGTTTCCTTGGCTTCCCGTGTTCATGAATCCTCTTTCTTGCCAGATGTGTACCATCCGGATTTCCGGTCTCGACTCCTGGAGTGCGCTGTTCAACTTGGCCTTTCCGATTACCTGGACCTGGACGCTGGCCAGCAGGAAGACCCTATGTCTCTTCATTTCACTACAACGAGCTCCAACGTTGTACGCCATTTACAACGCATTGACAAGGCGTTACCATCTCTCGCACAGGCCATTTCCTCTATCCATTTGTTTGAACTTGGAAGTTAACACTTGGCAGTAAAACCTTACAATGGAAAAAAAAGATGAAAAAAAGACCCAAAAAATAGGTAGACAGACTATGTATTGGCTCTGACATGGTTGGGGAGCCATGGCTTTCAGAGAAGTACATAGCGAGTCGCAAAATGTGGAGGCAAAAAAGGAGGTCTCGGGTATCCAGGCCCATGTGTTAGATAGCAAAAACCATGTGTATCTAGGTGTTGGAATTTTTATGAGTCTTGTATGACGATATTTGACGAGCTTTGAGGTGGATCATGAGCAATGCAGGTAAATTGACCTCTTTTCTCCCTTGACAGACACTGACAAAGTAAACAGGTAACCATTATTTTTGCTCTGTGGAAAAGAGGCACCTTCTCGTGGCACAAAATGTGAATAGCAGTCAAACCTGCGAAACCAAGACCTCTCGGTGTTTAGATCAAGTCAACTTTGAGGGAAGGAGGGCGAAGAAGCAGCAGGCTTGTGAGTGCCAATCCGAAGTCGTATTCCCGGGAAATAACCATGTCATGTTGGATTTTCTGAGGAGAAGTCGTTCTGCAAACTGGCTGACGAAGGGGAGGGTGGAAATGATGTGCTTCGATCTGATTTGGGACGCACACCCGACAATCTGGGTTGATCAAAGGATCCAATGGGCAGGTCGAGTTTGGCAGTACCAATGATATCGAATTGGAAGTCTTTAAAATCTCGCCTCAGCACTCATTAACCAGGCAAACCCCATACAGAAGATAACATTACACAGACAAACAGCCCCTTCTCACCCTATCAATGTCCGTACAACTCAATTTCACGTTTCCACCGAGGCTCAAGGTGCTGGAACCCGATGTAGGCGTCCTCAACCATACAATGAAGAAAGAAATCAGTACACCCTCTCAAAAGCGCATCTCCCAAAATTGAAGTCACCAACCATGGCTGTATGTTCTCAAGAGTCTTCGTAGCCGCTATCAGACACGTCCTAGTTTCTGTGAGCATGCACAAACCATAGTCGAGAGCAGGGATTTGAATAGTGTCGGGTGTTGACGAAACTTACATCCAAGGCCTGGTTCACCAACGCGTCGGCTTCTCGGTTCCACTCACGCCCAATCCTCCAGAATCGCACCGCTCCCTCCCGCTCCAACTGCGTGATAGTGCCATGTAACTCGCGGATGAGGTCACCATGCTCCACAGGGGTGCCCTTTCTGGTCATGAAGCCATTCCTCTCCCAGGTCCAGATGTATTCACCGAGGCTCTTGGCCACATAGTCCGAGTCCAGCTTGATGATGATCTCACGCCAGCCATCGAGTTCGCCGGCACGTTTCATCTCCTGGACAATCTCGAGGGCCTTGCGGACCGCTTCAAGCTCGGCACGGGAACTCGTTTGCGGTGCACTCGGAGGCAACAGAGCCTGGGTGTTGCGTGGACAGTCTGGTCCAAAGTAGACGCCGTAAGCAGCTCGAGATTTGGGGTCGTTGCGGTTGTTGCCACGAGATCCTCCGTCGACAGCAATCACCATGGTCCGCATCCGTGGCTGCCAGTGAGCACCGGGATATGGGAAATTGTAGAGACGGGCGTATTTCCACTTGGGGCTGTACTTGACCAGAAAGCCTGGATCGAACGTCTGTCGTCCATATCGTTTGGTCTTCCTGGGATTGAAGTTGCGACGTGGCCGATCCTGCTCTAGCTTTAGCTTTAGCTTTAGATAGGACTTTGCTTCTAAACTTATCCTCACCGTTTCCATGGCTGGTCTCTTTATGATCTCGCTGCGAGCTGACGATCGTTTGGGGTTTCAAGACTCTAGGGATGAACAGGATGAGATCAAAGAAGAGCTCTCAACTTTTCTGTCCCGGCTTTATGAGCTTCCTACAGCTCTCTGGGCGGGTACTTTGGCAATAGCGCCCACTCAACATATCAAACAAACGCCAAACATAGCGTCCAGCAGACAAGCAACACTACATCATTTTGTATATATTGAAGGAATGCAGACAACCGTCAAGACCGTTGAGGCTCTGGGGGATTCTGTTTCGTGTCGGCGGGATCGTGCAGCGGAAAGAACGATTTCCGGATCTACTGGTCCATAGGGGGGCTTGTTCGTGTTTGACCCTGAGTCCGCTCCGGTAACTGTTGGTAAGCCGTACACATGGAATTTGCAGCGCCTACCTGTGTGGCTGTGAGGAAGGGGTGCACGGCTGATGTCGGATCTCGGATAACATCTCATTAGCGAGTATCTTCAAACACAACATTGAACAAGATGGGGAGTATTGAAAGGTGCGAGAGGAAACGGGGATGCCGATCAATCATTTGCTGTGTTTGCTGTGTTTGTCTTGTTTGCACGCCGATCTTTCTTCCGCCAAGCCCAAATCCGACACCAGCCCAGATCAGCTTTGGGAAAGAAAGTCTCAATGCGCCCTTCACAATTTTGCTGCCAGAGCTCAGCGACCATGATCATCAGACAATTTTGTGCCCGGCATGGTATGTACAGCTTGACAATGGATAACCTCACTGCTAACGCTCTCCAGGCCGGACAGTGCTGGCGCAGTCATCGCGGACGGTCAATCGAACATATGCTACAAGCATCTCCGCAGACAATCCTACATTTCGACCCTCAGAACGAGATGCTAAAGGGACGACTAGGATACCGGGTCATCCTGACGACCCTTCAAGCATCCTAGACACGATCGATCGCGCCCCGACTCCCGCGACGAGGCTATTAGAAGAAATGGTCGAGTCACACCATAAATCCATCCGTGCTCTTCAAGCAGACATCAATGCACACTCTGCAGCCCGAACAATGTCGAAACCCTCATCTAGCTCGACATCGAGCACTGCGCCCGCTCCGACCACTACAGATGCTCTGCCTTTTCGAAATCTGAAGGAGTTGAATCGTCACCGTCGCGCCATGCAACGGGCCACTCGACAGGGCACTCATTTATCCCAGACATATGACCCGTCTACCATTCTTCGCAGGCCTCCAACCGTGGACGAACTCACTCTCCCCATGTTGCTCGCCAACCAGACCCATCTCGGTCACCATACGTCGCTGTGGAATCCCTCAAATAGTGGCTACATTTTCGGCGTAAGAGACGGTATTCACATTATCTCGTTGGATATTACCTATGCCTACTTAAAACGTGCGGCGAAAGTTGTCCAGGCAGTGGCAGAGAGAGGTGGAATTATCCTCTTTATCGGGACACGCAAAGGCATGGAAGAGATTATCGTGAATTCAGCCAAGCTAGCTGAAGGCTACCACATATTCCATCGATGGGTCCCAGGTGCCTTGACCAACGGGCAACAAATCCTTGGGGACTGTGGCGTCAAGGTGGTCGACATACATGACAATGAATTGCCTCAGTACGACGATATCCTGTCAAGAGGCTTTCATCAGGTCATGCGGCCAGATCTGGTGATATGCATGAACCCGATCGAGAATCAGGTTTGCCTGCACGAATGTGGCATGTTCAATGTCCCGACAATCGGGGTCATTGACACAGATGCGAATCCGACCTGGGTGACCTACCCAATACCTGCAAATGATGATTCCCTCCGATCAATTTCTCTCATCGGCGGTGTCCTGGGCAACGCAGGAAAGGAAGGGCAAAGACTCAGAAAACTCAGGGCGACAGAGGGCAAGGCGACGTATGACACGAGCGTGCTCCAGGATAAACTGGTTGCTCTGGAGGAAATGGTCGCCTTGGACGTGCAGCGAGGCGATAGTGACAGTGCTGAGGCAAACTGAAACGGGGGAGCAGGATGGGAAACGGATTGACCCGCTGCTCTTTTAACGGGCCCAAGGGATGTTGGGTTGGACAAGAATTTCATCCAGATTTCCATGTGTACAATACAGAGGCTTGCAAGTGTGACTTCTACCCCTAAAAAGATTTTGCTGTACTTGTACTGAGAGTATTCCGGCGCGGTTCGCTACTGCTGTACCTCCTTTAGAGACCTCCGCAGGCATCAGATGAACATGACAAATCCTTCGTCCCTAGTTGAGTTTCCAGACATCGCTGAAGAATGACACCTGAAGAGTGTGACGAGAAAGGCATATGCAAAGGAAGCCGAGTATGTGTATTCAAGGATCGGGGATCTGGATGATGGATGATACTCCTTACAGAGGAAGTTTTCTTCAGACTGCACCTAACAATACTGTTGGTATTTGGCTTTGCAACACTTTCCTACGCGATAGCCGTCCATATACTGTACCTCGCACTACTACTAGGGGACAGTCAGGGAGAAGTTGGACGCACGCAGTGACAAACAAAAGTCGACACGGCGCAATGAGGAACAGACGGTCTCCGCAAATCGGGCAACGGTTGTGCTTCGATCGTTCATCGCCTTGTGCCAAAGATGTGGCGAAGCAAATGTCGGAGAACAACACTGTCGTTCTCGAGTGTGTTACGAAATATCTTGCTCGTCTTCCTGGTATATGTTCGCAGCTCTGCCACGTTGCGAAAGGTCGGAACTCGGTCATGGTCGGTGTCACCACGTCGTCGGCCCCACTCGATCAAATCGACAATGTTGACATGTGTCCTCCGTACGGCCTATTACATATGCATTGAACCCGATCAGGATATAAAGTCTCTCATTCAGGCTCAAAGCGATGGATAAGAGTTCTTACTTGCTCGCATTGCCGACACGTTCTTGGGAGCGGCGTGACACCAATGGCACGACACAGAGCATGCCACGCCTTCAGGTCGTCCTCTGAACCGTACCACATGCGCAATTCGCTCGCCAACGCGTCCTGGTATCGACTCCAAGCGACTTTTGACGCGGTGTCGTCCCGCCGCCAGCCTTGGTGCTTGCGCAGTTGGGCGTAGGAAGTGCTCGGCGGAAGAGATGGATCGTAGACAAAGGTCGGGAACGAGCGAAAGAAGCTGTCCAGAGGGGTCTCGGGAGGTTGCTTGTGGAGGGGAGAATCCCGCAGGTGCTGCTTGAGGGCTTCGGCGCTTCCGAAGCTGCGATTGCAGGTCTCACAATTGAAGGCGTGCGCAGGAGAGTCTCGCAAGTGTTGCCTGAGGCTTTCTTCACTCCTAAAGGTGCGATTGCAGGACACACAACTCGAGCCCATTGTGTTTGAGCTTCGTGCGCAATGTTAATCTAGGTTGCTCGTCACGAAAAAGAGATATCGTGGATTGAATGCCATGACAGTGACTGACAGCAAAGAATCGTCAGGTTTCAATTCATCTTTCTGTTCTCTCGCGAATGGAGTGTCGACACGTCGATAAGGCTGTGTAACAACCACCCTTGTCGCCCATCCAATGAATGGCCCAGCAACAGGAGGCCACCGACAGGCTACAGTTTAATGCAGGTCTCGAGGTTTTGCAGGGAAATTTCCCGCCGAATTTAGCCATCGATGCCGTCGCTTTTTAGAGGGTCTTCTGCCCTCCCCTTGCCTTCCGTTTTCCTCTTTTCGACAAAAGATGGGGCCCCTTTTGGACTTCTTGAGAGATGATTATCGCGGTCCACTCACCAACTCTGTCGAAGCTCAGGATTTTAGTCAAGTCGAATTATTACTCCGGTCGAACACTGGGAACGATGAGCAGTCGGTCGACGACAGGACACTGGCCATGCGGACCGCCGTTGAAAACGACCATCTCAAGATGGTGGACCTCCTGATGGGCCACGGTATCAAAGCGAAGTTAGACGATTTTATCACTGACGTCCACCAGAACAACACTTCCATCCGTCGCGAGGACGAGTTCCACCTACTATACATTACAGACATTGAGTCGAACCAGTATCCGTCGCCGCCTTCATGTCCCTGGCCCCCTCTCGGTATGACGGATATTTAGAACATCGCCACGGAGATCACTTCTCCCCTCAGCATAAACTGACATTGACAGAGTATGTATCCCCATATATGCCCCTTCGGCATTTCCTCGACCTGTGTGTGAGAATACTCGACTAGGGCTGGGTACTTTGTGGGACAAGTGTAGTTGGCCACCTTTGTGTACGCTTTCCTGTTCACAGGTAAGCACAGTTTCGCTGACGTGTCCAATATAGTCCGCTAGAACTCCCCATTACTATCTTCCAGCCCTGGAATCACTCTCGCTACTCAACCAAACTCGAGGCACCCCACTGAATGGACGTCTTCATTGGCGATTGCATACTCATCCCCAACCCTACCGTGCTGGTGCTTTGTCGTCGACCCATCCCATTCATCGCCCGAGCCACTTCGCTCGACGCATTGCGGATCTTCTGCCATTGTAAGGCCCCCTCCTGGAAAATGCCCCGTTCCGGGAATATCGCTCGACCCGGGAGAATCAACTCCATCTCTCCGTTAGTCTCCACCTGACGCAAAATCTTGGGACTTGTCAACAACGGGTCTTTGCGGACGACCAAACTAGCCGCGGTGATGCTGCTAGTTGGCGATGACGGAGATTCATCAGACCCGTAGTCAGGCTCATAGCTCTCGTCCAACCAGTCGATCCACCCACCCGAATCTTGTTCGCTTACGTACGGAGTCTTGTCAATAATGATGTTCATCTGGTCGCGCTCTGCAGCTTTGCCCAATTCAATAGCCAGGGGGAAGATTTGGTTCAAGTCAGAGAGGAACGCCTGGGAGTCGTCCACAAGAATTTGCAAGGGTCGTATGATTTCTTGTTCAACAAGCTTCCTAATCTCGACCTGTGCGTTCGCGATATTCGTCTCGTCGAGCGTATCCAACGTCTTCAATGTGGCCACTTTCCACCGATGTTGAAAAGCCCTTCCAGCTTCGGCCATGCCTAAATGCATCGTCGGAAACACTGAGTCATTCACGTGGCTCGACACCAGATACTCAGAGAAAAACGGGCGCCAGAATGTATCACATATGAACTTAATGATGATGTGCTCGGCAGCGGCTCGTCGCAGCATCACCGAACACTCGGACTCGGCGATGGGGATTTGTTTAAAGATTGGGTTTATTTGGCACACTTTGTCCGATGTGTCCGCTGGTTTCTGCATAATGGAGAATGGTCGTCAACACAAGGGCTCTCTCCAGATGCCCAATGGCTGCTTCACGTACCTGTAAGGCTTTATTCGGAAGATCTGTCAGGTGCTGGCAGACAACCTGGTGGACCCGTTCAAATAGCTTCTTATACTCCTCCGTGCTATCCCGATAAGTCAGTATATCTCTTAATATCTGTCATGGGGCGGGAGGGTTTACTAGAATTTCAAAGGCCGCTGTTCCAGTTGATACTGTTTCTTGATGCTGGTAAGCTCTCCCTGCAGCTTTGTCACGTCGCTTTGTAACTCCTTTTGTACCATGATCCGTAGGTCCTTCTCCCGGTCCCGTTCGGATGTCCGGTCGTGCAACTCCTTGCTGAGCCGAGCCTCCGTCTCCTCCAACTCCTTCCGGTCTTTCTCCAGGTCGGCGATCTTTTGCGCGTTGTCCTTTTCCAGCTGCTCCTTCTTCTGTTGATGTTCTTTCTCCAAATCCTGTATTTTCTGCTTCTGCTCCTGGTCTCGTTTCTGTTGGGCACGGACATGCTCCTCTTCTAGATCTTGAATTTTCTGCTCGTATTGTACTTTCTTCTGGTTGCCGGCCTCCGCAATCGCTTGAAGGCCAAGAATTTCCTTTGCATACTGCTCCTTCAACTCAGCTATCTCCTTTCGGTGTGAGTCCCGATCATCCTGAGCTTGCTTCCATATGGTCTTATTCCCAGTCTCGAGATCATTGATCTTTCTGATCAAGGCCTCATCATCGCCGTAGCGATCACCAACAGTGCTAACTATCTTTCTATACTTCCTAAATTGCCTGGTTAACTCACTGATCGCACCATCAAGGGTTGACAGCCCAATTTGAAGGTTTTGCACTTCTGTCTGGATCCGGTCGTTGAAGCAACCGAAATGCACGGTTTTGACCCGGGAAATCTCAGCATCGGCGCCTTCCATCCCCTGAGTGACAGTCTCCTGGTTCGCGCTTGGGCTATTCAGATGTACTGAACCACCCTCTGCCGCTTGCGCCATTGTAGCTGAACGGACCTAATCAGGACAGCACTGTGTTTAGTGATATCCAGAAGGTTGGGACAGGGCGCCAGGACGTACGGAACGAGTGTCTCTCGTGGATTTCTCTGGGGATCCGCGGCGTAATAATTTCAGTATTCGTGCCTCAGTACTGGTAATCTCACAGTTCTTTTGGAGGGAGAAGATGTAATTGGGGTCCTGGGGCGACATGTAGCTAGGTGGTGAGGAAAAGCGGTCCGTTGGGAGGAGAAGTGGCGTTGGAAGGGACGTGGACCAGTTTTGGGTCAGTCTAATCTGATCACATCACGACTTCCTTTGAGGAGCTTCAGCAGGCATAATACCACCTTGACGCACGCACTCTGCATGTACAGTTGCAACGTGTGAAGGTCTGAATGGAGGAAGGGTCAATGACCATCACAGGCTGCAGTAACCAAGAGATGCACGGAAATAACCGTGAAGCCAGGGAGGTGCCATTGATTGAAAGACCAAGTCACTCCGCCAGACATGTTGACGCATGCATGGCCCGTGCAAAGATGATGTAGCTGCGGGGTTTGTGGGTTTGTGGGAGATGAGGCGACGAGTATCATTGCTATCAGTACCAACTCACAGGCAGCATGCATAGAGCAAAATCGTCGGGATTCTTTGAGTCCTGAGTGGTGTGCTCTTCTAACGGAGGGCAGGGATCAAGCGAGTTAATGTTGGTCGTTGTTCTCTGACAATGAGGGGGAATACGAGTTGGTCGGCTGATGCGGGATACTATCCAGGTCGCTTGCATGGTTCTTCACAGGTGCGTCCACGAATGAGATAGGCCCACGTTCAATGGTGAGAGACATTGCATGTTTTGGTGGATAACGCATCTGCTGTTGAGGCTCGACGAACATTGCGAACAGGTCTAGGTGGTTCGTTTGTCACATCATTCAAGCTGCAATTGAAGTCCAGGAGCCGCCTACGTCGAAGGGTGTGGACGAAAGGCCGGAAGAGGAATTGAGCGTTCACGTCTATGAATAGTACTGTAAATTATCATACTCGTAGCTACTCCTACCCACGATATGTGGTGCCATATCCCGCCACGGGAGCACCCTAGTCAGGTACTTCCACAGTGACTGATAAACAACCGAGGACCGACCCGAGGACGACGGGACGTAACTAACCCCGTAAAGTGGCAAGCCACTGCTATGGCTTAGAGCTACCGCCACGTGGCTAGTAGTATCTTGCCGCCAATCTATCGTGCGTCTAGACACGGCGCGGCCACAGCGCCCAACACTACAGTCATTGGAGACAGGTGGATCCGGACTACGGTGGCGGATGACACCCCATCAACTCTTGTCTGTACTTCGACATCACCGAATACTTCATCTAACGGCAATTTTTAGAGAACTATAGCTACGAATAAAGGAAAAGTCACTACCTGCTTCACATGACCAACATTTGGTAGCATACGTCGTCCTTTTCTCAAACGTCGGTCCCCATCCGTAGACTTTTTCTCTTCCATAGTCGGCTGCCCAGATAGAATATCTGTCTGGCGTATCGCAACATGTCAACTCCAGTGGTTGTTGACATTGTGACATATTTTTATCCGATTGGGAACACACCTGCCGTCCACTTGACTCGAGGTCTTCCATACAAGCAGTCTGCCAATATTCTGCTTTTAGGGTGTGGCGATGTGCGCAACATCTTGTTTACGGTCTATTCCGACCAGCGTTCTGGTGTGCAGAGTCCATCCCGCGGGTTCGTCGCCATCCACTGATATACTGCCAGGCCGGAAACTAGACGTGACGTGCTGTGACATTGAGCCCGCCGTCATTGGTGTGCCTCGCTTCTTCCTCGCTGGCGTGCTTTGCTAACGAGGTCAAACCCAGCGCGCAACATCTTGTTGCTTACTCTCCTTTTAGACGATGTCGACGGGTCCAATGACGCTTCTATATGGGACATATACTATCACCTGTGTCTGGATACCAAGGCCTTGGAGTTGCTGGGGACCCAAGCCACAAAACTACACGAACTGGCGGCTTCAATGCAGGGCTGGCATCGTGGGCAATATGGCCGACAATTCAGATTTTGCGACGAGGGAACCCTAGCGAAGGTAAGGGATATCTGGGACACTTACCGCTTCACACGCTTGAATCAGGACGACCGAGAACGTTTTCTCGAACGCTCAAAGGCGGCAATGCAGAGGGCCATGGAAAGCCGAGCGTATCACCTCGGTGGCACCAGTTTTGTCATATCGGGCCTTCGATCTGCAGCCCCCGTCGGCATCGGTGCCATTCATGACGCCCCCAAGCTTCATCAACACTATTGGGACCACGGCAACACCGACAGGGAGGGAAAAGACCCGTGCAGAACCGACACGCCCAACCCGATGTTTGTGACTGACAGGTCCACGCTCCACTACGGTACCGACCCATTACTGGGCTTTCACCTTGCGACGGCCTATACCCCACTCACGGAACAGTCACCGTTTCATGCTGAGGTAATGACGCATGATTCTTCCTGCTTTAGGGTTGTCGAGGCGGCACGGCTTCAGTTTCGGTCCTGGGCAAGGTCGCTTAGACAGTACCCTCCCTCTTGTCTTACAATACGCTTTTTCGCAGGCGACGCCATCTCCTTTCTATACGCGCTGCAGCAAAAGAAAATCACCCGAAGTGAGAGGGCCGCGGGCATGTACCGCGATCCCTATCACGCGGAGCCGCTGGTCCTGGACGGCGAGGAATACACGGACTCTGCTCGAGCACCGCTCACATTCGACGTGATTGATACGTCGAACCTCCTTGACCACGTAGGCGCTTTGAACCTCCTTGTGGCCGCCGCGCCGATGTTGGACGAGGGACGCTCCGCTTCCCTATACACCGAATCGCTGGTAAAGCAAGAGGAAACCCATACGGCGTACATTGACAGCCTTCTCAAGGGCCACTTCCCAACCATCTCGACTTTGTTAGGTCTCTTCCCAGTCGAGTACTGGACCAATGCGTCGGCTTCTTCGGCGATGGACGACCTGATGATGGACTCGAGCTTTATCGGGGTTGCCGGTGATATCAGAAGCGGACAGATGCATGTCAGACTGACATGGAAGCAGATCAGTCCCGAAAGGACTTCGCCATCGCCATCGGCCGCAGGAAAAGGCCGTCGCCTCCGAGTCGATGAGAGTGGGTGCGCCCGGATCCTCCATGATGTGTATCTCCACATGTTTCAGCACGAGAACATGCAGCGACTGTTCTCGGATCTCAACGTGCACACCATATCGAAAAGTTCGCTCGTACGCTACCACCGCGGAAGTTATGCTCTGTTTCTACGGTTTGTGCGCAGCAGGATCGCCGCCGACTGGGGCAAAGTCATGGACCACCTCCTGAGGCTTATCGAGACCGACTCAAGTCTCTTAATGGGAATGAATTATATTCAGGAGCTATATCTGTTCCTTCATATCTTTGAAGTGTATTCTGTGGACACTTTCTCGGGCCCGATCAAGCAACCCTCCACTGCCGTTACGAAAGGATTGGAGCGCTGGAATGGCATTCCCCCGGTCATTTACGTGACATTAAAGGTACCCAGGGAAAGACTCAGAGCGATAACAAGTCTCGAGCCCGCGGAAATTGGCACGCCAATCGTTCACTGTGTCATTCAGTCCTCCCCGGCGTCGAGGTCTGGGCGTTGGCAAAATATCTTTTCTGCCGTGCAGCTTTCTTTTGGAGACATCTCCACGACTGGTGAGAGGCACAGTGACGCCTTCAGCCTCCATATCGTGGACGACGGGCTGAAATGGAATGGCAGTTCCGCCCTCTTCGTCTCGTTCCGGGCTCCGACATGGACGTTATTGATCGAACCCCGAACTGCATCAATAGCCTTTGGAATCCAGAGCACGCCACAAAGTTCAAGAACGTTCGCAAAGCGTCTTGGTATTGAAATGAATATTTACGAAACCAACTTAGGAGATGAAGAAAACGTCTTCATGACCAAAGATCCACCAAATCAGCCAGAGTCTGCTTCCCTTTGCACCCTCCCGAACGATGATTCAGAAGACTCGCCTCCCCAAGGCCAGGTTGCGCGGACCGTGATCAGTGCAAATGTCGACTCTAATGCTCCGAGGATCGCAGGCCTGACGGGGCGTCTTGAACTCCTCACGGAGGACGTCAAGGCGGCGATGAAAAGTGGAAGCAAGGTCGAAAGTGTCCAGGTGTCTCCATGCACCGTCATCGCGACAGTAGGGCTGATGGCCTCGCCGATCGTTCTTGAATTTCCCTCTCCCGTCCTTGCGAGGAGCAAAATTAGGATTGCAAGAAAGTCTTCATACATCGAAATAGAAGCACCACTGGCCAATGCAGCGGATTGGAAATGCTTCCCGTCATTCATCCATCCCATTTACCCAACACTTGGGCCCCCCGTGGTATGGAATACGCCTTATACGAATTTGGAATGCCTGCCCACCATCAATACGTCAAGGAAACAAGGGATCCAATGGCTCGTGACGCATTCCTCCTGTATGTTTAGCAGCAAAGAGCGCGAGTTGAGAGACACTCCGATGCTCGTAGATCAGGACAAAGACGTTCGAGTTCGATACAAAGACTCTCTATTTTCACTTATCATGCACTTTTCCGGCTTGCAGGGTGAACAAGCCCAACTATTTGGCCTTAACGACCCCACGGGTGGAGGGATACACGTTCTGATTTTCGTCGCTAGCCTCAAACTGGACGTTGCCAATCAAACGGTCGTTCTGGACTCGGCAATATTACCGCTGACCAAAAGCCTGATGCCGAGACTCAGGTCATTCTTAGAAGCGCTTTCGGCTATACGGTTATGCAGTATCAAGGTGGATGCCGTCGAATTGAAACTGTGGAGGCAGGTGCTGCCGGCGATGGTCGAACGATGCCGGACATGGGAGCATCGTCCTGACTGTGAATATCTGGCGGAATCGCGCATTCCCTTGTCTTTGGAGAACGGCCAGCCGCTCCTGTGCTCCTGTGGAAGCGGCCAGCTGCCGAAAACATTCCTCACGGGCGTGCCACATTGGGGTTCGGTGTCGAAATACTTTGTTCGAGCAGCGCTGTCCCCGTGCTTCCCAGCTCCCTTTTGTGAGAAACTTTTTGATTTCAGCAAGATCAACAAAGCCAATCCTTTCCCTCACAACGGTGGCGGATGCAGAGTCTGTGGAAAAACTGAATCTAGGCCTGGAGTGGGCTTGTTAACGTGTATGCGATGCCACGACGCGAAGTATTGCTCGAAGGAATGTCAACGGATAGATTGGAGGAACCACAAGCCTAACTGTAGAAGTTAGTACGCAGAAAGATTGTGGTGTTCGTCACCCAGGCGCGAGTGACAGGATGTAAGCAAGTAGGTGGTGGTGTGGAATATATCTTATAAGCTGTTTCGTGGACCACGTCAGTCAACTATTATGAGGATTGCACACGGCCCCGCCAGCGAGGCCAAATTTCTCGGGCCACCTTCCTCTCTCTCGATCAATTACAGCAGGAATGCAAGCCACCACCTAATATGGAAACCTAACTCCACTCGTCCCTCCAAGTTCCGTCTTACGATTATCCGTCCTAAAAGTGGGTTTGAAACTCTACAATGTCGCTAATCCGTGAAAAGGTGGGTTTCGATCCTTCTGGAGACGTTTTCTTACTCCTTGAGAGAACGGATATCACCCCTACCGATGACGTTACACCTCATCAACCAACCGGCGATGCTCCTGCCCATCATGCTCCCGCCGATGCCTCTGGCCATGATGTTCCTGCCGACGATGCTCCTACCGATGGAATCTCCATTGACCAAAGTGTCGTTGAAATATCAAAGCATCTAAATGACGCAGATGGAGATCCATCAGCAAAACTAGCCAGACGCGAAGTTGAAGTACAAGTGTCTTCGAAACACCTTTCACTCGCATCCAAGGTGCTTTGTCATTGCCTGGAGGGCCTTCCAATAGGTGACAAAGACGTCAGGACAATTCCTCTCCCGCATGATGATTTTGGCGCTATGCAAATTCTGCTGAATATCATTCACGGCTTAACAAAAAGAGTTCCAAGGCAGGTGGACGTGGCGGTGCTGTCTCGAGTCGTCGTCTTGATAGATAAGTACGAGTTCCACGAAACTGCTGAAGTCTTCACGGACATTTAGTTTGAATCCCTTCGACCCACGATCCTTCAAGATCATCAAACTTTGGCAGCCAACATCTTTATTTGCTGGGTGCTGAAAAAGCCTTCCGAGTACTACATCTTGACCAAGAAAGCCATCTGGGAGACTAGTTGCGAGCTTGCTGCACGATGGGAAGCAGAACGGCGAGTGGATGCTGGTAAGTGGGTTTCAGATGCTTTTTGGTCACCTTGCAAACATGGTAACGAATTCACCAGCGCGTCGTGGTCGCGGGGCAGGCGGGTACTGATGGAATCGGACAATATGTATATTTACTGAACGATTTTACAATAAAGTCCCACATCCAGAACGGTAAGGGCTCTACAACGTTGATGAATGCTTCTAAAGCATTCGCTAGACTTTGCCCTCTTCCAACTGCAATTGGACCGCATTCAGGCATCCTGCGAGCTTTTCGGACCAGCAATTACAGGGGAGCTATGGAAGAATCTCCTCCAGCGGCTCCATGCACTCTCAAATGGTTTTATCAACTCGAGGGCTTTGTAAAATGGTCCAGCCGCCCTGATGGAGGCTGGCTGTGGTATACTGCCGACCCTGGATTTGGAAAGTCAGTGCTTTGTCGCCAAATTGTGGAGCAACATCAGAATGTGTCAAGCCTGTTGGTCACCTACTTTTTTTTTATGGAGACTGATCCATCGCACAGCACGATGGAGTATGCTTTGCAGGCCTTGCTTCATCAGCTCTTGATCGCCCGACCAAGCCTTCTGAAGGTTGCAGCTAGTTATCTGGAACAATACGGCAACGCCGTCCTACGAGAATTCAGCTCTCTTCGTCACATCCTTGAGCAGTGCCTGGCTCATCTACCCGGAGCAGAAATACTATGTGTCTTTGATGCACTGGATCAGTGCAGCAACTTGCAACTCTCACGTTTTATGGACTGCATGACTTCACTTCTCAAAATCTGCAACAACAACTACGGTCAAATCATCCGGATCTTCATTTGCTGTCGACCTTATTACGACTATATCCCAATCATTAGTGACCTCGTTCCTTCACAGGCTTGTTACTGGATCCAAGCAAAGACAAATCTCGATCACATCTCCACAGATATCGAGATGTACATCGAGCAGCATTTTAAAAGCATGACGAGGTACCTGACATTATCCAACGATGAACTCACTCAAATCAGTGCCAATATAAGAGCAAAACCGCACCATGTCTTCCTATGCGTAGCTCTGGCTCTCAAAAACCTTACCAAACGACCACCTTTGGATGTGGCGACTTTGCTGGCTACTTTCAACGAGATCCCGGACGATCTTGAAGAGTACTACACGCGTGCTCTGAACCGCTGCCCATTTGAAGATATAGCCAAAAGGGTTTTCGCGGCGGTCATTTTTGCCCGAAGACCATTGATGGTCGCCGAAGCGGCACTCTTCCATGAAGAAGGCAACATCTCCGAACCAGTGAATCCACTATTAGAGAATCGACTTGCCGATCGAATGCGGGATGGATGCGGTTTACTGGTCGAGGTCGTCAACAGCAGAGTCCGTCTCATCCATAACTCGTTGCAGAAGTTTCTGCTAAGGCCGAAAGGAGTAGTTGTTGATCATGTCAAAAGGCGACCCTCGAAAGAATGCTTGCGATGGAAACATACTATACTCGAAAGGCAGGCAGAGACCATGCTGGCGAGAGCTTGTATTGAACCTGGCCGTTCTGGACGGTGGACCACCTTCAGACTCTATGCCATCAGCCACCAGGCATCCCATGTTCTCGCGGCACTTCACTGTGCCAGGGAGAATGATCGGAAAACAGAAATTGCGAAACTAATTGGCCTTAGACTAGACACGAAAATGCTGGACGATCGAGGTAAAAGTCTTCTCCACCACGCCCTCGATCACCAGGTATTCAGCGTTGATATGAACGTGGTGCTTCTATTGTTGCATCATGGAGGATTAGTGCAGAACGCCGATTCTGATAGTATGACATGCTTGCATTATGCGGCTTTTCGAAACAACACACGACTTATTCGGATACTTCTGGATGCCGGGTTCGATGTCAATGCAACTGTGGACAGAGAAAATATCGACGCAGCCAATTATAATGCACCGATAGTGGATCCAAATCGCAGAGGTCTCACACCTCTTCATGCAGCTGTATATTTCTGTTGCCCAGCGGCAACACAAGCCTTGCTCGAGGCAGGCGCAGATCCATCAGCACGTGATGCATTCGGTAGTAGTCCGTTGCATCTTGCAGTTTCCCAGACACTTCCAGGCAGACATATCAACGATATGTGGTCTGAATCCATGTATATGCCTGAGGAGATATGGGGAGATCCAGGCGACGAGGCTGTGGTTGAGCATGTGCTTGAAAATGCCCGAAATATGCGTCAGTCTGTTTTGGACTGTTTATGCGAAGTGCTAAAAACGTCCAACAATGTCCGCGACAACGAAGGCAGAACAGCCCTCCATCGAATCCCCTATGGGCGTAGCAGCTCAGTGACTAAAACTGTGTCATTCCTGCTGGGAAGAGGTCACAAAAGACTGGCGCAGGACGCTGGAGGGAAAACACCAATCCATCTTGCTGCGAAAGCTGGTAATGTCTCGTCAATCGAGATATTGGTGACGCAAGCCGAGGACCTGGTACAGGCAGATGCTGAAGGGCATATTGCCTTACATCTTGCTGCACAAGCAAACCACTTGCTGACCATCGAGTTCATTCTCCATCGCGCAGACTATTTGGCGATTGAAAATTCAGTCGACGATCATATGGGCATGAATGCTCTGCATCATGCACTTGACGGAACGTCCTTCGCAGAAATAGACGTTATTCGAAGACTGATTGCAGCTGGCGTGGATGCTACGCGCAAAGACAGCGGAGGCAGAGACCCTCTCTGCTTGTATCTGACTAGCCCCTTGCTGGTGCCTGGAAAGCCGGACATATGAAAACGCCCCTGGGATTTAATCATTGAACGCGCCACGAAGAAATACCCACCATACATGTGGATGCCTGAGCGGTGGAAGGATTCAGCAGCTGCTTTCGAGAGTTACAGGAAAGGATCCGGCGAAATCTGTCAGTGCAAGGCAATGCTGGGAGTAATGGATAAGCCACCACAGAATAGCTCAAGGGCGTAGCTCGCAAAAGATAGCTTAGTATGACAACGATGTCTTTTGCTAGAGCGTATCCATAATCCCGTTTATTGCTGAGATCCCGTCATATAGGTTTTGACACTGGGGAATGCTAAGATTAGCAGTATTCCTCCATAGTGGCTTCAGATCGTTTGTGTTATACAGTATACATGTCCATGACTCTACAGTATTCAATGCGTGACAACTGGTGGTAGCGCTTAGCAAGGGCAGTTTCGCACGGTTGTAGCTTGCGATGTGCGGCGGGTTCAAGGTCGGTCCACTGCAAGCCATTCGAGGTGATAATCGTATCGGTAGCGAAACTCGATCCTTTGAAGCTATGTCTGCATCATTGCGCGATCCGTCGAGAAAAGTCGATTTCGCATAATACACAGCAAGCCAATGTGATGTTCTCCTGTCAACATGGCACTCTTGAACGTTCTGGAGGGTTGATGATCTCTCTTTATGGGCGCCTTCTTCCCAGGAAGCGTACGGAGTTAGGAGCAAGAGATGGACGGACGGGGTTGTCGTTGAGTCGGTCGCTCGAAGGAGTCCCTGCCAATCATGAGGATCTTTGAGAATCCCAGCGCTCGAAGATGTCGTCTAAGTTGAACCCACCATGCTCGCGGTCGTTTGCATTGTGCCGAGTGCTGGTGGCTGGCTGAGATGGCTGGAATCTCCTGGGGACAGGGGCAGTGAGGCTGGCCGCGGTCCTGGAAATGGTCACCTCTGCAAGTCAGAGATCTGTGCCGTTTGGAGGTACCAAAGACACAACGTACCACAAGATTTGTCACCAATAGAGTAGGTAAAGCCAGCCATGGAGGTATCTAGGTAGCCATTCCGTATCTGAGGTTTCAATCCCCAACACAACCGCGGTTCATGTTCGTCCCACATGACATTTAGCATGTGCAAGGTGCAAAAAGCATGTTGGACGATCATGTAGGGTCCGTCCTAATTGGGAATCTCGCCTATCTCGAAGAAGTCACTCGAGACGAACACGATTGACACGATGGTTTTGATCAAATCCTGGTCATTTCGTGTTCCTCGTACTCGCATATCCATAAGCGGTTAGATGACTATGGCTTAAAACAGCACTCTGCACAACCACTCCTCTCACCGCAGTCGCCCCCTGCATCTCCAAAAAGCGGCAGGGATTTTTGTCCTCCACCAGCGCGTTTAAGACTCGCTGAAGAAACGTCCATCGTGTTTCATATTTGCCTTCAAAACGTCAATCATGCAAGGATATGCCGGTAACAACGTCGTCCGTGGTCGTGCTACTCCTCCCCTTGCTCCATACATACTATGTACCTCGTACTCGGTACGCTTTGCCCTTGCATAGGTCCCCGAGCTGAGGATATCAACAATATCAAGGGGTACTTCGGATCTTATACCTTCTCGCCATCGAGGTCTTTGGAATGTCCAATTCTACGCTCGATGTACTGATTAGGCGGGGTATATCTCCAAGGTCTAAATGGTTACGTTCGACACTGACACGACTGATCCGAAACACTTGCCCCGTGCTCCAGACGCTGTGACCCAGTCACCGCGTGGAAAGCATGGTCTTCGGTGAATGTGCACTGGAGCCCTCGTGGAACAACAGAGGACGATCATGCCATGCGCATATTTCTCTGGTTCCACAGTCGACGTCGCCTCTAGTTGTGCCATTCGATCTACAGCTTGTGGTCAAAGAAAGAATAAGTTTGGTGATAAGGTGGCATACTGATGCCCGCCGCTGAGAGTTTGTGGTGCTGTCTTCTTCTGTCGTTGGCGTGACCCATTCTGTTTCTGCTTTGTTTTGCTTATGTATGTCCAACCTCTTCTGGCTACAGTTCGCCGGCACGTCTCAGATAGCGACTGCGCGACTTTTCTTATTCTCTCAGGTTTCCCCGTTGTCTACCTCCCCTGGTGACCTGCGGATCGCGACATCTTCCCACACTCTTTCTCGAAAATTGCCTGCCTCGACAGGTCCAACATCAGAGTCAAGCGAGTTTTTGGGAGGTGTCGTCTGTATGAGCTCGAGGAGAGAGGCACCCGTCCAAAGGGTGTTCGGCGTGGCATTGGGACGATGATTCTACCACACAGCTACTGGGTCCATGTCTCCCAATTCTCTCCCGGCACCCTTCCAAAAAGAGCGCCTCAAAGTCCCAATACACCAGGTTTTCAAGAGAGCACGAACGGTACTCTTGAACCTGAAGGGAGCCAACAGGAACCTCCCAACTTTGCAGCGGCCGGGGTCACTGAAGGCAGAGGAACCACAACGGGTGATATCCTGCCGATAGAGACGAGAGCTGTGGGAGACCTCACCGATGGCAAAGACTTGTTTGCTCGTCAAGATATCCCTTCTCTCGTGTCCAGCGCAATTGGATCTGAACGCTTCCCGCCACCTTTTCCTTTCACGCCTGGGATTCCTCCGTTCCCAACTGCTCCCGAGGCCTCCTTTCTGACCGCCGTTACGTCGACGCCAGATCCAGGATCAACATTGTCCTCGAGCTCTTCACCTTCAACAACGCTTACGGACAATCTCTCATCCAGGACACTGGGCGAATCGACAACAACGTCTGTCAACCCTGGCGGTCTTCTATCTCAATCTTCAACTGCATCCGATCCTTTGTCTGCGGCCCGTACAGCATCGCAATCGTCAACACCAAATCAATCCTTCCCAATGACGTCGACTCCTGCGAGGACAACAGCTTCGTCGAGTCTCCAGCACACAGCCAGTGCCCCTGCTGTTGAGGCCAGCATGAATGGCACGACCGAATCAAAATGCCACGGGACTCTTTCGCAAGGACAAAAAGCAGGAATTGCCATTGGAACTCTCGGTATATCCTAGTGCCCATTATGACTTCACTCTTGAACATCTCATGCTAATAACGGTGTAGTTGGTGCTACTTTGATTCTGTCGTTGCTATATTGGTTCTTTAGATGGCGTAAGGGTGGTCGTCAAGGCTCGATCGTGAGACTGGGGCGACATCGGCACCCTGAGTCTGGCGAAACGCCTTGGCCACGTAACCAGCCGTTCGGCATCTTACCAGATTCTCCCATGGCAGAAGCTGGCTTGAGCAATGTCCCGGCTTGGAACCACGAAAACACCCACGCGCAGCCGACCATGATAGTCAAAGCGCGGCAGTCCATGCCCAGATCTCTAAGGTTCCTCCGAACAAATCCCTTGGGCATGAACCCGGTGACTCCACCAGCCTCGAGGCCACGAACCCCGAGCCGAAAATCACTCGCTTCGTCATTGTTCCGTCGGCGCTCAACGGCGTCGACGCTGCGCAGTGTCTCGGTTCCACCAACAGAGGAACAACCCGTGTCCATGAGAGGCCCTCACTCGTTACGACCCCTATTCATCCCCCCTTTCAGGCTTCACCCAGCAGCCTCGCCGGCATCGCCGTCCAAGACAGCCACCAAGAGCATCTCGGCGAGCACTCGCTCCTTTGCGGGTGCCTCTGCAACTCACTCGCGTCCAATGAGCCAGCAGCGGAGGCCACGTTATCCGAGTACATCGCCCGCGGACAGAGATCCTCGGTCTGCCAGAGCGATCTTCGACCGGACGAGACCTCGTCTGCCGTCAAAACTGTCCAGGTCACAATCCTCTACGACTACCACGACTGGCTCGGAATCCTTGCCACAGGGCGTGAGAAAAGATGTTCCACCCCCCGTGCCGCTCTGGCGAGGGCGAGTCATGCCCCGGCAACCCCTGCCCACCTTGTCCACGTTGTGGGAGAGGGGTAAGACCCTCCAAGCCCCCAATCTGTCACGAGATGCCCATCTGGACGTCTTGAAAGCGAACACGAAGGTGCGCGTGCGTGCGGCTCCTAGCGACGATTCGGACGAAGACGAAGACGAAGACGACGAAGAGGACACACCTCCTTTGCCACCTCCCAAGAGTCCAAGGATGATGCCACCTCGACCGGTTGGATAGGATAAGGAAATCAACATCGTCAAGTGGTCCTCATCCTGACACCGCGAAGGCCTGTCAGCCGCTCGACCTGTATTGACCTTGTCTCTGTTATTTTATCGCTGCCACGCACGCAGATTGCGAGTCACCTCAGATACACATGGTTCGGCCTCGGCCAGGTAATCTGGTCGCCTCCGTAACGAGGACGACGGCAGTGATATCTGGTATGGTACAGGTAGTACCTCGTACCCTGTACAATTACCACAGGCTACAGGGGTTGAACACCCCTTTATGTATTTGAACTCGGTACATTAAGGGTAGACTCGCCCATTACGTTGCGCACGGCACCTGTTATGTGTGAATGTATGTATGTATGTATGTCCTGTACACAAGAGAAAAAAAAACTGTTTAGAAGAATCTCTATCGTGATTCCCGATTGCTGATTCCTGACTCCTGGCATTTCACTAGTGACTGGCAACTGACGAGCAGGACCTTGAGCATCCGTCTCCTTTTGGTATTTTGCTTTGTTCGTCCAACTTTTCTGGAAGAAGAAGAAAGAAAAAAAAAAAAAAACTCCCAATTCCTTGTCACAAGACTTGGTCATACATAAGTACCTTACTCACTTACCTTTCCTTTCCTTGTCAAGACAAGAAATAGAGGTGGAAAAGAATATAGTCGAGACCGAAGCCACGACGACAGACAGAAGGGATGGGGAGAGAGTACCCTGTCCTCACTACCCGTCACCCATCTATCCACCCATATATCTCCACCTAGATAGAACCTACAAGTATCTCCTTAGCAGTTAGTACGTAAGTACCTACCCACCAACCCTGTCATCTCAGAGACTGTACCGCCTCGGCGCAAAGACCCGCTTCCAGAACCCGCGATTCTCCTTCTCCGGATACGGCACACACACTCTCCAGCGGGGACTGACGCCGTTCCTCACCTCCCACTCCCTACCCATGACTGCGAACCCGTTGCGGACGGCGTTGTCACTAAACGTTGCGTTGAGAGTATGCGCTCTCAAGAAGGAAGTGGCGCTGGTTCTGTCAAGTGCCCTGGCTAATTCCGTTGCTGGTGCCGCTCCTGCTCTGTCACCCGCACTCGCACTCGCACTCGCTTGCCGAACACACGCGGCACAGTGACGGTCCGAGACGATGCGTTCCTCGCGCGGCCGACGGGGCAGGGGCTGCCAGAAGCGGTACGGACACTTTGCCCCCGGCGGACACTTCTTCTCCACGTCGAGACAGTCAGCCAGACCGATGCGGCCGGAGCAGGTCGGACAGACTAACCTCGCGGAGACTGTGTAGCACATTTTTTTTGCCCCAGTCTTTTTCTTGTTCTCTCTTTTGTTAGCTGTGGGATGTGTTCTCTGACTTTGCTGTTTGATTTTCTGGTTTGATGGTAAGGTTTTTTTTTTTTGGGGTGCGAGACACATCCATATGTGGTGGTGGTGCGAGGAAGAATCTTCTTATGAGGAAGAACGGAAGAGACAAGGCAGTCCAGAGGAGACTGCCAAAGGGGACTGCCCTGTCCTTTCCTTACCCTGGACTTCCGTTGAAAAAGCATTCTTGAGAGTCAGTCGGGCAGTCCCTTTTTTCCCTCGAAAGAACGAAACAAAGACAACCGAAAGAAAGAGGTTGTGGCATTTTTTTCATTGTTGTGTTTTGTCTTTCCGAGTCGGAATGAGACAATGAGACAAAGGGGGTTGACTCGGTGAAATGAGTGTTTGTTACTTCTCTTGTGGCGGGGATCATGGAGAATACATCCCTCGTTGCTTTGTTTTCGATAGTAGGTACCTCCGTACGTAGGCACCTCTAGGTAGCCAGGTAGGTGGGGGTGGAGGTGGTGGTAACGATTCTTTGGTGATGCTCCGTGTTCGAGATCAGGCAGCCTCCTCCTCCTCATCTCCATCACCTGCCGATTCATTGTGACGAATATCGTTTCTCCCTCCCTCTGGCACGTCGACGACGATGTTGATAGTAATAGTCCCTTGTACTCGTCATCGTCCGTCCCGTGATAAAATCCAGGCCTGGCCCTAAAACATCCCATTGCTAGCTTGAAGAATAGTGAGATGGGTTGAGGTAAAAGTGAAGTGATCAGGCCCGAGGGATGTGGTACTTCCCCTCTTGTACAAGTATGCACGACCAGATATCTCGGTAGGAAAATATGCAGATGTACTTTAGGTACCTAATAATGGAACAGAAAAGGTCGAAACGAAAGAAAACACACGCATCTTGATAGAAATAACTCCATTCTCTCCACTCCCTCAAAAACCAATACTTACTTACCTAGCATACCCAGCACTTACTCACCTTTCTCAATGCAAATTAGAGTCCAAATCCAAATCCCAATCCAACCATCCTGTGTCGAAATTCCCCAGATCGATCCAGCAATGAGGGCAACTCATCAAACTCAACAACATGACAAAAGTCCCACAACTTTCGAGAATCCAGCTCGAAACCGCCCCCGCTCCGCGTATTTCCTTCTTCTTCTTCTTTCTCGTCTTCTTCACCCTCGCCCACTCTATATACACACCTATCGTTCTAGGTGGCTATACTTGCGCCACCCCCCCTCGTTGGCCAAGCAAGCGTCGCAGACCGACCACACCCACCCATCGTCCCTACACACGAGGTTCCCCGGGGGAACACGGGTCAGGAACCAGTCGGGGAGTTCGAGGTCGATCTCGTGGTCCTGCTCGTGGTAGATCATCTTGACATCGCGGCGCTTCACGTCATGGTGTGCGAGGAGCCGGCGGAAGGGGATCTCGTGCCTGGCGGGCCTCGACAGGCGACGATCGTCGGTCGCCGCCCGGCGTCTTGACTCGGCCCCGACAGTATTGGGGCACTGTGCGACGCTGTGGCGGGTGCAGGTAAAAAGAGTGATGAGACTCAACGCCGGCGTGTCATTGTGGCCTGAATCACCACAGTAGCTTCGGCGGGATGAAGACGTGTTTGCCATGCTCATGCTCCCAAACAGGTCGGACAACTCAACGACGCTGTTACCCCCTGGAGTGCGACTGCTGTCTCCGTCACGATTGTCACGTCGTCCGTCCCCGCGTGAGCGGGTAGTCGTCGACACAGTGCGAGATCGAGACAGGGAAGAGCCGTGGTCACCGCGGTCGTGTGCGACGTGGGACCCGTCGCGATCGTCGTAGCGTGAAGTCTCTCTTCGAGACCGAGACCCGGCAGTATTTGTCGCTGGTATGAGCGCCCGCTCGCGATTATCTCTGATCGTACTGGTATTAGAGTCAATAGTCCAAGTTCGGGAAGCGGTAGATTGGGCCTGGGACCGTCGGTACTCTCGCTCAGATTCACGGACCACAGAGGCAGATCCTTGACGCGTGCTTGGGACATGTGAGTGTCGGCTCTCTCCACCGTCGCGGCATCTGGAGCATCGCTTAGACAACATCACTTCACGATGGGGCAGGGGACGGCGGTTGCGATCCGAGCAAGCATTGGATGACGAGCAGAACTTGTCGACTTCTGGATGGTCAGTAGAGGTCCGCCGAGCGCCACAGTCGGGACAGGTGAATAGGGTAGATTGAGTATAACACATTTTGTAGGCTGGTTTTGTTGCAGATCACTTGGTCAGTGGTTTGAGAGGGAGGTGAATACAGAGCACAATTGGCTCGAGGGGAGTCGATCGGTGTCTTATAGTACACTCGCCTACCACACATGTCTTTGACAAAGTCTCAATGCAATGAGCTTTGTCGATACAATGGACAAGAACTATTGCTAGAGAGGGCACGAGCCCCGAGTCCCCACACCGGCTGCCACTGAGTGTTGCTGGTGATCGTCTTTGACAGCGACTTTGTTCCGTAACAATGGCCGGGGATATAAACGGCAAAATGCCCTTTATCCATTTGGAGCCTGCGAAAGTTAAGGTACAACAAAGAAGGGTTCGGCCACAATCTGGAACGTCAGTGTCGAGTTCGCGATGCAGGTAAGAGACTCCGAGGGTCTGAAGAAAGTAATCAAATAGGGATACAACCCTGTAGAAGAGGCAAAGGTAGCGACAACGAGACAGCACGATGGCTTCCCAAATATGTGTGCAAAGCTCAGCGCCTGAGCCGGATAATGACATGGTTGAAAAGTGCAACACGCGAACATTGTAGGTATCCTTTTTGAGACTCATTGCCCTCTCAACGAGAAATGCGATAGATGTGGACGCCTCCTCGCGCCCGCCCTCTCGCCCAAAGTATCCTGTTTTGTCAATCTTATAGCAGTGAGTCCAGCCTGGTAAAAACGCTCAAACAAGCCGCAACAACCTAGACGGTTGAATGAGTCTGGGTTGCAATAATGATGCTGGCAGGCTTCAGGGGTTCTACTCACCTCAAGTTGTAATTCCTTGTCCTTGTTCTTCTCGACCTCGTCTGCAATCACCTGGCCAATATTTGCTCCAATTCCCTGTTGTCCACCGGTCCTCTTTGCAAAGGGCCACTGTGAATACTCTGCCAATAGTTCGTCCACTTGGGCAAACGCTCTCTCTCTGGCCTCATGACCCAATGTCACCAGAGCATTTTCAAGCACGTTGGCTGCATAAGCGGCACAGACCATGCTCACCGTTCTCAGCATGCGGAAATCGAGCTCGGCGGGGAGGAACTGCGACGGAGGCAGTACGACGGTGCGGCTAGTACAGACGTTGCGTACACGCTTGCGGATTTCATCTTTGGCTGCGGAGTCGACTACGGGGTGGGTGGCCATGTCGAAGAGGAGGAAGTTTCGTTTTTCGGTGCGCAAGATGCCTTTGTCCACAAGGCCCTTGGCCAGTCGCTCCCGGACTTGCTTTAATTGGTAGCCAATTTTCATCAGATTCCACGTCTCACCTGTGTACGCAAAGTCAATTGGTGTACCAGCAGGGCCGCGTGACGACAACACTCACCGCTCATGAGATCGATCCAGGAACTGACACTCATCTTCTCACTCGTCTTCATCATTTTCAGAGCTTCGTCACACAGGACTTCTCCTGTCAGGGTGTCGTCTATGACTTCGATGATTCTGTCCGAAAGTGGGAACCGTCTCCTCGAGGAGTCTTTCTGCATGCTGATTCTACCTCGAAATGCCAGCTCGATGACTATGCAGCCTCGCAAGGCATATGAGATGTTATCGTTCCAGAACGACAAGTACCCCTAGTGACATTGGTCAGGGATACCTCTCTATGAATCTTGTGGTTGTTGGTTACCTGCTTATCCTTCAGCCCCAGGAGCAGAACCTCTTCCATCAGGGTCAGCTTGGGTTGTTTACTCCGTTCTGCGCTCTCGCTGATGTCTCGGGGGTCATAGGCGATCCGGTGGCCATTCTCGCTGGATTCGTAGGCGGTCTCGGGGGATCGATCGTTGTAAGGTTTGGGGACAGGGGATGTGACCCGGCTGGAGGACTCGTCTTCTCCGTTGGGCGACGTGGCCCCTCCAGCACCACGCCTTCGCGTGAGGCCTCCTTGGGAGGCCATCAATGTAGAGGAGTCTACGCCTCACAAAAGTATAGGTGGGACAATTGGGTGGGTGGAGGGTGTTGCTGATGATCTCGTGCCTGGGCCTTTTTTATGCCGAGCAGACGCAGCCTGCGGGATGCGCCACGGGGATTCTCGAAGGAGTATTAAAACTCCAGTGGAAAGGGACCCAAAGGGGGCCTCGATTGGGGATGATGTTCTTGGACAATGAGCGACTGGGGTAACAACAGAATGATATCGACAGGTGTGAGCATAGAGATAGATATCGGGGTGCTGAAGACCCCGTTGGTACGGGATGATGGCTGCTGGCTGGGCTGCTGAATGCCTGGCTGCATGATGCTGCGCGTGTTTGGCTTGTCGCTCGTTTCTCACAATATGGCGCCAAGTCTGGATGCCCCCATTTCTTCATCTCCACTGCGTCTCGCCCACTCACTGTCACTTATTACTCTTTAGGTACATATGTACAGTTCTCCAGCAGCACTCGATATTTAAACGTCCTTCAACTCTCTATTTTCCTGTCTTCGGTCACTCTTGGGTCATATAGAACCATTCCAGTGTTATGGAGCAATTAATGTCTGATTTCCACCTCAACACTCTGCCCAGGTGGCCAGCAGATCTCATGCGCGATCTGCGCACCTGTCCATGTCTCTGTACCTACGTCAAGAAACGCTCAATCTGCCTCCCGTGACCCGAGTCCTTGAACTACGGCCTTCGTCCATATCTATCGTGCCTCCCTTTGGATGTATATGTCCTCTCCCCGAGACACATATCCCCTTCTCGGACGGGTTCGTCTTATATGAATCTCTCAAAAGTCAATTCTCGGCCAAATCAGCTATACCCCCCTTGCCACCTCCTCCTTCGGTC